TTCGATCCCCAGTAAAAAAAAAAAAAAAAAAGAACCCTCCTTAGCTGGACAGGATGGTACACGCAGAGGCTGAGGCAGGAGGGTTACAAGTTTGAGCCCAGTCTGGGCAATTCAGCAACTCAGCCAGACCCAGTCTCAAAATGTAACAAGGGCTGTGGATATAGCTCAGCGGGAAGGCCCTGCATGCAATGCCCAGTACGGCCAACATTCATACAGACATATAAACATAACACAGCTCCTCCCAGCCGAGGAACAGTGACACAGGAGGCCTACAGTCCCAACCACTACAGTCCCAGCTGTTCTAGGAGGACGAGGCAGGAAAACCACTTGAACCCAGGTTATCAACTTGAACCCAAGTCATCAGGTAGGTCAACTTACTAAGACCAATCTCTTCAAATAAAAGAAAAAATTATCCAACAAAAGAAATTATCGTTAGAAAAAAAAAAAGAAATTATTGTTTATGGCTAGGCTTGTACCTCTGTAGTACAGCCTACCTGCCTAGCATAAGGGAGGCCCTGGGTGCCCTGACCCACCACTGCCAAAAAAGGAAAAAGAAAGAAAAGAAAAAGAAATTGCTGTTTTTAAAAAGCCTTGTTGGTAAAATGGACCAAAATGCAAAATTGTAAAACTTACTACCAAAGTTTTCAACAAATAAAACACTGACAAGATACATGAGTTCAAGGCCAGCTTGGACTAAAAAAAAAAAAAACTAAAAAACTGCTGGTGGTGGTGGCATATTCCTGCAATCCCAGCACCTGGGAAGCTGAGGCAGAAGAACATGCAGGATGTTCAGTGCCAGCCTGGGCAACATAGTGAGTTCAAAGGCTAGTCTGACAACCAGACCATCTCAAAAAACAAACAAATAAAAAATTTTAAAAATTGATAGAACAATTACCTCAAAACAGGAAAGCACTATCCATTCCACTCCATTCTCAAAACAACTTACCTTTTTGGACCTTTCTTTTGCAGATTTGAAATTCAGATTCTCACACAGTCACTGGCCTCCTCTTCTGTTTGATTCAATAGCATACACAGGAGTGTCTCTCTTGCTATTAAATAAATACATCAGTAGAAAGCATACTTGTATCCTGCTTTCTAACTATGAAAGCAAAAGTGCAAAAAACCAACCCAAAATTATTAAAAGAAAAAAAACAAGGTTAAAACCACATAGAGCAATTGTAAAGGCTCCACATTTTTCCCCCAAACACCACACCTTCAACATGATTTAAATGGCTTTTTCCCAAGTGAGAAGGGATTCTTTTGTCTTTTTTTTTTTTTTTTGGTACGGGGGATCGAACTCCGGTCCTTGGGCTTGCGAGGCAGGCGGCGGAACCACTGAGCTAAATCCCCCGCCCTAAGGGATTCTTGTGTCTTGATAGGGAGACAAGGAATTAAAAGTAAAACACAAGCCATTTCCAAACAGGCAAGAGAGCCTGGGATTTAGCTCAGCGGTTTCACCGCCTTCCATCAGAAGGTCCCTAGTTTGATCCCCCAGTACCAAAAAAAAAACCTCCCAAAAAACAGGCGAGACATCATCAGTGTGTGCTGTTGCAGGAAACAGAATGGAAAGCCTTGAGTGGGAGTCTCTGCACTTCATATCTGCAAAAGAAGAGAACAGAAAGGTAACTCCAGACTGAAAACACTTTCACCTCTTTAACGAACTGTCCCTACACATTTGAAATCAGAAGATGAAAATGTACTGTTCAGAGCTTCCTAGGTGAACTCAATCTTGTCCCTAAAAACAGTGAATTTAAACTGTCTACAGCATCTGGAGTCATTTCAACACTTTGATGCCACACACTGAGGGAGAAGCTGAAACACCTGGATGTCCCATTTCTTTACGCAGTCTTAAAACTATCATTAAAAAGAGCCAAAGGTACTCCGCTGTTGAAGTTACTACGGGAACTACATCCAACAGAAACAGAAGGTGCACATTGACAAAGGTTCTCCGCACGGTGACAGGTGAGCTGTAGGGAACCCCATTCTCCAAGCCCGCTCGAGTTAGAGGTGAATTTGAGGACAGTCGAGCGCCTCGCACGCATCCGCCCCGCCCAGCACCCCGCTCTCTGCAGAAACCCATCTGCGCCCCGGGGCGGGGAGCCAGGGCCAGGCGGGGTACGCGCCACCTGCCCGGAGCCCACCTGGGCGGGCGCGGGACCGAGCGGGACGGAGGGACCCGGCGGGCGGCGGCAAGCGGGGCGGGCACGGTACCTTTTGGACAGATCCATGAGGACCCCCGAGAAGACCTTCTCTCCGAGGCAGAACGACACGACGAGTGCGTCCTCGATGATGTGGTCCAGCGTGACCCGCACCTCCGAGCCCGGGATCAGCTGCGACACCGCCGAGTCCCCGCCCGCCGGCGGCACGAGCGCTGGGGCTGCAGGCTGCGGCCGCGGCGCCTCCTCGCGCTCCTCGGGGGCCGGCGACGGCGGCGGCTCGGGCCGCGGGGCCGGGGGAGGCGCGAGGTCCGGCACCTCTAGAGGTGCCGCGGCCGCTGGCTCCGCCGCCCAAGCGGGCAGCTTCTCCTCAGCCTCGGGCTCCGGCCCCGCCGCCTCGGGGCTGCGGGCGAGCTCCCCTGGCGGCGGCGGCGGCTCGTCGGCCTGAGGGGAGGACTGCTGCCCCTCGGCCTCGCCGTCAGGCACCGACGCTTCCGTGGCGGTGACCTGGAGGGGGTCAGTGCCCGCCTCGCTGCCGGGAATGGGCTCCATCTCCGGGTCGGCTTCGCCGGCGCCCCCCTCCCCGGGGGACGCCGCAGTCGCTGCCGCCTCTGCAGCCACGGCCGCCATTTTCTTCCTGGCTTCTCCCTCCTCCGATTTGGGCTGCGGCGGCGGCGGCGGGAGCGGCAGCGGTGGCGGCGGCAGCGCTGCTTAGTTCCCTAGGCCTTCCCCTCCCTCCCGCGAACACTTTCGTCCCGCCCTTTCCCTCATGCTCGTTATTGGCACCACGCCATTGGCTCGGTCCTACACCCTTCCCGCACTTGTGCGGTCCCATTGGCCAGACAGGGACGTCTGTCATTACTCAGTCCAACCCTTCCACACAGAGTAGGAACTTCTCATTGGCCAAATGAGTTGTCAAATGCCCAATCTGGGCGGTGGAGTGGGGGCGGGCCTGAGGGGGGCGTGGCAAGTCACCAAACAGAGTTGTCTACTTAGAGCCTCTTTCTATTGGCTGAAAGGGGAAATACAGTTCTATGGTTGGCTTCCACTTCTGCCCATTATCAGACAGGTCTTCGGAGGTGGGAGAAAGGAAGGAATCACGTGGCGTGCCAGTTCTTTGAAAGGCATCTGAGAGGAGGAGTAACGGGAAAATGCGGGAGGGGAACCGCTTCCCAAGAATCCCTGCGCAGAGATCCTTAGAATAAATGTTATTTCTAGGCGCCGACCTGCTTGCGGCCGAAAGTGGGCACGACAGATTTCTTTGAAAACAACAAAGTTTGAAAATACACCCACAAACACTTTTGGGGTGCTACCCTGCCAGTCGTTTTACTAGGTGGTGGGAGGAGAACGATGTACAAGACATTTCCTAGAACCGCGTGGCAGCCGCTCCAGCTTCCTGACAAGGAGCAACGCTCTCCTTGACTTCACTTTTTAAAAACAAAGGACTGATCTTACTTTCTAGGGAGCTACTGATTCACAGAAGGAAAGTGCTCACGGGTGAGGAGAGCCATTCTGGACCCTAGATTAAGCTGCAGCCGCCTTGAATCTGCTTATTCTCTCCACCAGCCCTGGGAAAGGCACACACGTGGTTCCCTGCAAAAGCCTTTTTCATTCCTGGCCTCTGCTGTGTGACAGGTACAGAAAGCCTCTCTTTTCAGTGTACTGATGCTCCCACTTCTCTACTCCTATTTTAAGTCTCTTGGTTTGTTGTGTGTGGAAGAATCTAAGGAACCTATTTCTCAGGGATTTCATTTCAGGCCGGGCGTGGTGGTGCACGCCTCTCTCCCTGCTTTGGGGAGGCTGAGACAGGAGGATCACTGAAACAAGAGGCCAGCCTAGACTACCTAGTGAATTCAAGGCCAGCCTGAACTACAGAGGGAGACCCTGTCTCAAAAAACAAAGAAAGAAAGGGCGGGGGGTTGTCGGGGAATTTTAAATCTAGTGAGGAACTTGGCTCTTCCATGTGATGTTGTCTTAGTTACTTCAGCAGTCAGCTTCCCCTCGCATGGAATTAGTGTAAAGGGGACACTAGTTCCTTGTGTCGTGGATGGCCACAGGGATGGCCACATGGCATTAGTGCCTGGTGGCTGGGTGGAGGACTGGACAGATGATTGGCAGGTGGTGGCTCCCACAGATCCTCCTTGGCACAAACAGCTTATCTTTCAAACTGCAGGATACAACAGTTTAGTGGCCAAGGACTCAGACTGGAAACAAAGGAGCCTGCATCCCACGGCCTGGCTCAGTGACCTGAGGGTGATCTAGGCAAGCTGCTGACCCTGTTTCCTCGTGGATGAGCTATGGTGCACACACTGTGTGATCGCACTTATATCGTAATGATGACTACCCTCCAATAAAATTTGTTTTTTGGGGGTTTTTTTTTTGGTACTGGGGATCGAACCGGATCCTTGTGCTTGCGCAGCAGGCGGCAAAACCACTGAGCTAAATCCCCGGCCACAAAATTTGGTTTTTAATTATGTAACATATACAAAGTGTGTCACGAAGACCTCCAATCACAGGCAGGGTAGTTCAGTAATTGTTTGCAACGAGGGTTAGAAACTAAGTCTTGCGGTTACATCTGGGGTGACCATACTTGAGAGGTGCTGACCTCCAATAGTCAAACTTCTAAAAGACTAATAAAGCCTCCCATGCCAGGGTGTTGGCTCACAGAGGAGTAAATATGTTTAAAAATGGCTTAGTAGATGGGCACAGTGGCACACACCTGAAATCCCAGCACGCTTCAAGGCTGAGGCAGGAGGACGCCAAGTCTAACCCCAGCCTGGGCAATGTAATGGCTTGGTAAGATCTTTAAAAAAAAAAAAAAAGCAAAGCCCTGTGTTCCTCTTGGGGAATTTAGTAATTGATGGAGGATAACATGGAGGGGGAAAAGATTTAGGACTCGCCTAGGACGAAGCTGCCAAATCACAGGCACTGAATGAGCTGTCCCTCCTGCTCTGAGCCTGTTTCTGGCTAGGTAACCAATCTTTCTCTTCTACAATCAGCTTGGCTGCTTCTAGACCCAGAGGGTGATAGATGACTACTGACTAACACGTTGATGAGAGCCAGGCTTGGTGGCACACACCTGTAAACCCAGCACTCCAGGAGGCTGAGGCAGAAGGATCACCAGTTCAGCCTCAGTGTGGACAAGTTAGTGACTGAGCAAGACCATGTCTGTCTCCAAATAAAAAATAATAAATGAGCTGGGGATGTAGCTCACTGTGAAGGCCCTCGGTTCAATCCCCAGTACTCAAAACAAAAATCAAAAGAAAGTCAGTTCAGCACCCCCCCATCTCAGTGGCTCACTCTGAGAATCTCCTAAAAAGCTATTTTGCCTGTGTAGTATGAGCCCATGTATATAATATACTAAAACACACAAAACAAATTTCTGCTGTTTGAAGTCAGGATAGGACTGATTTGTTATTGAGGGCAAAGGAAAGCAGTACAATTTGTGACTCAAAGGGCAGTGAAGCCGAGGGTGTAGCTCACTAGGAGAACACCTGCCTCCCATGCACAAGGCCCTGGGTTTAATCTCCAGTACTGCAAAATAATTTTTTTTTGGTACTAGATATCAAACTCGGGACCTAGATTTTTGTGAGGCAGGCAGCAGCACCACTGGGCTAAATCTCCAGCCCCAAATATAAATAAATTTTTTTGAAAGGCACATGAGTGAGGTGTTCTGGGATTCTGATGATTTGTTTCCTGGTCTCAGTTACACAGGTATTTTCAGCTTTTCGGAATATATCCTGTTGGGCCTGGTGGCACACACCTGTGGTCCCAGCATTCGAGAGGTTCAGACAGGAGGATTGCTGAGAGTTTGAGGCCAGCCTAGGGTATATAGTGAGTTCAAGACCAGTCTGAACTACATAGCAGACCCTGTCTCAAAAAAACAAAATAAATAAATAAAAAGATACATCCAACTGTGCACTTATGTGTACTTTTCTGTAGCGAGTTGGTATTAATTATCTATACCTGCTAGTTTCTTAGTTTCTTAAACAAGATACATTGTTTTGCCAGGGATGGTGTGGGGTATAATGAGCTAAGGCCAGCCTGAAGTACATAGTAAGGCCCTGACTCAAAAACAAACAAACAGGGACAGAGGTTTAGCTTACTGGTTTTGCTGTCTGCCTCAGAAGCACAAGGTCCCAAGTTCAATCCCTGGTACCAAAAAAACCACCCACCCACCTTTTTTTTCCTGTACTGGGGATTGAACCCAGGGCCTTATACATGGAAGAGCAGGCATGGCTTCACAAGGCTGTCTGTTTCAGGGTCTCTCACAAGCCTGCAGCCATGGCATCAGCTGGGACTGCGGCCTTGTCCAAATCTCACCCGGAGAAGGGTCCAAGCACTGTTTGATTTTGTGTCCGTTTCAGTGGGCCACAGGGAACCCAGATAAAACCTGAATTCTGTACCGTGTGACCACACTTCCGGTGAGATAGGTGAAAATTGGAACCCTCGAACCTGGAGAAGTACATGGCCCTCCTGAATGTGGCTGGGCACTCTCTAGTCTAGTTCTTCGAAGGCCTGAACAGAAGAAAAAGCAGAGGAAGAATGAATTTGCCTCTTGTTTTGTTTTTGTTTTTGTTTTTTGAGACAAGGTCTCACTACGTAGCCCAGGCTGGCCTCCAACTCAAAGCCTCAGCGATCCTCCTGCCTCAGCCTGCAAGTGCTGGGATCATAGGGGTGTTCCACCAGGCCCAGCTGAATTTACCTCTTTTGCTCCTGCCTGCCTGCTCAAACTAGGACATCTGTGTCTCCTTTTGCCCTCAGACTGGGACTCACGCCAACAGCCACTTTGCCTCTACGGCCTTTGGAGTTCGACTAGAAGATGACCACCGGCTCCAGCTTGCAACAGCAGCTCCTGCAGCTCCTCGGCCTCCGTCACCCGGTGAGCCACTTCCCCGTAGGGCATCTCTGTGTCTCACTGGTTCCGCCTCCTTCGAGAGCCCTGACTAACATGGTCCACATCCAAACCTCCCTTGTGAATACGGACAGGATTCGGCTCCCAGAGGCAGCTGACCAGGGCTGCTCTCCCGTGGTCACCACAAAGGTGTACGCCACAGAACGTCTCAGAATACACAGCTTGAGTCGTCCACATAAGCAGGGAGCAGGAAAGAAGCCACAGCTCCATGCCTGACCTCAGGAGAGGGAGCCCCTCGCTTGTGCTATGGTCTGGAGGCCCATCACTGGGTCCAGCCGCTTCTGGGGGAGAGGATTCCACAGGGGAATGAGAAACAAGAGGCAGGAAGCCTGGAGGAACTTTAAGGACAAAGTGCATGCTGTAGTCAGCAGTGATGGGCACACCTGTAACCCCAGCACTGGGAGGCTGAGGCAGGAGGACTGAGAGTTCAAGGCCAGCACAGTCTATATGACAAGACCCTATCAATCACACAAGCATAAACTCTAAAATCAAACAAATGCAGTGCTGTTTAAAGGTTTGTACCAGGGCCAGCAATTTAGCTCAGTGGTTTCGCCACCTGCTGCGCAAGCACCAGAACCTGAGTTCGATCCCCTGTACCAAAAAAAAAAAAAAGGTTTAAACCAGTGAAAAGTAAAAATATTTCCCCTCTGATAACAAGCTTCACTTCCTTTTTCTTTTCTTTCACTCTTTTTGTCTGTTTTTGAAACAGAGCCTCCCTATGTAGTTCAGGCTGACCTTGAGCTCACTATGTAGCCCAGGCTGGCCTCAATCTCGAGGCCAGATCTTCACTTCAGACTGGCAGGTAGAAGAGGCTGTCAGACTACAAAGTCAAATCCCAGCATAGAAGACCATCCAGTCCCCATAATGAGATTGACCATTAACTCAAGCACTCCTTGGTCAGCGACTCCATGCCAGGCAGAGACAGCAACCAGGTGGGCCTAGGGAACCTGGTGCGGGCCCCACCCAAGATACTGCCCCCTATGTCTATCCTAACCATCACCAGGTCGGCAGATTCCTTCAGTATTCGCCCCACAGGCTCCCACTTTGGAGGGAGAGGTTTGCTAGGCCCTCAGGGGCTTCCTGAAATCCTGGCCTTTCAGGGCTAAGGGTGGAGCCCTTGGGCTGACTCTGCTGGCTGGCCCAGCTGCACCAGCTGTGTCTCCCAGACAACGACACAAACTCTTGCAACAATGCAGGCAGGAAAGGAAGCCTCAGAATGGTCACAGAAAACTTCCCAAGCTGGGTGTGGTGGCGCACACCTATGATCCCAGCCCTCGAGAAGCTGAGGCAGGAGGACTGCAAATTCTAGGCCAGCCTGGGTTACACACCAAGCCCTTGTCAAAAAAGAGAAAAGAAAAAAAAGGAAGAAAGGGAGGAGGGAGAAAGGAAGGAAGATCTGCCTTGTTCACTATTGTACCCTTTGCATGTACTGCAACGCCTGGCATATAGCAGGCCTTAAAAAACTATTTGTACAGTTCGAGAGCAAATAATTAAATAAGTGAATGGTTGCTCTGAATGTGGTGGCTTGTGCCTGTAATACCAGCACTCAGGAGGCTGAGGCAGGAGGATCACCTAGAGTTCTAGGCCAGCCTGGGCTACATAGTGAGACCCTGTTTCAGATTGATTGATAGACAGATGATAGATAGATAGATAGATAGATAGATGAGTGAATGGTTATTCTAGGTAGCAGGACTACTGCAGATTTTCTTTTTTCTTTTTTTTTTTGGTACTGGGCATCGAACTCAGGTCCTTGCGCTTGCGCAGCAGGCGGCGAAACCGCTGAGCTAAATCCCCGGCCCCTACTGCAGATTTTCTTTATGTTTATGTACATGTCCCAATTATCCAAGTTTCTAACTTTGCTACAATGAACATGAATTTCGGGGGGGGGGGTTACCTAATTGGACCTGGTGTTGTGCACCTGTAATCTGGACACTGAGAGGCTGGGGCAGGAGGATCGAAAACGTGCTGACTCAGTGAGGTTTTGTCTCAACAGAAAAAAATGTAAAAAGGCCGGCCATGGAGCTCGTTGCAAAGACCCTGGGTCTAATCTTCAGTACAAAATAAAGAAACATATAAATAAGTGAATAAAATAGGGCCGGGGTCGCCTTGTCACAGGACCCCAAGCCCGTTCCCTGGACGGGGAGTGCAGAGCCAGGGGACCTGGTGGGCAGGAGGAGCGGGGTCTGATCCGGACGCCCAGCCAGCCTGCCCTCTCTTCTCCTGCCCCGGGCACATCGTTCCGGCCTTGACTCGGTGGGCGCGGAGGGGAGAAGCCGCCCCAGGAGAGCTCCGGGCCCTGCGGTCCCCAAGGCGCCTTCTGTCCGGCTCCTGGCTCCACACCTCGGTTCCTCCCAGGCTCCGTCCGGGTCTGTGGGTGCTGACGGAGGAGGGACGGAGAAGCCAGTGTCGCCATCCTGTCCTTGTTCCTGGCCGCCCCTTCCCTCTACCTCACGCGGGGCCTGCTGCCCTGTCTTCCTTCACAAGAGGCCGCCCCAAGTCTCCCGCCCGCCGGGACCTGCGCCCTGCCCGTCCCTGTCCCCGTCCTGCAGTGGACAGAAAAGGGATTTGTCCAGAGCCCAGAGCTCTCAGCCTTCCGGAGCAACCGAGCAGGTGTCTCCTCACTGGTGGCCTGGTGTGCGCTGCCCCACGTCAGATTCCCTAACGTCTAGGGCCGGAGATTTAGCTCAGGGGCTCCGCCGCCTGCCTCGCAAGCACAAGGTCCTGAGTTCAATCCCTGCTACCAAAAAAAAAAAAAACCATCTCCGAATATTCCCTAACGCTTTGTGGCTTTGTGCCAAACACTGGCTCACATTTCCTGGGATTGTCACTAAAGGCTACCAGAGTAGCCAGACTTGGAGGTGCACAGTTGTAACCCCAGCTACTCAGGAGGCAGAGGCCCAGGGAAGAAAAACTCAAATTCAAGGCCAGCCTGGGTAACTTAGTAAAGGCCTGTCCTTTCTTTTTTTTGAGACAGGGTCTCATTATGTAGCCCAGGCTGGCCTCAAACTCATGAGATCCTCCTGACTCAGCCTCCCAAGTGTTGGGATGACAGGTGTGCACTATCATGCCAGCGAGGCTCTGTTTTAAAGAATAAACAGGTTCTGAGGATGTAGCTCAATAGGAAAGCCCTAGGTTCAATCGCCAGTACTGAAAAAAAAATTTTCTTGGTACCCAGGATCGAACTTGGGTCCTTGCACTTGCACAGCAGGTGGCGAAACCACTGAGCTAAATCCCTGGCCCCGGAAAAAAAAAATTTTTTTTTAATAAAATAACTCATTAGTCACTGAATCCTGTCATTTCCTGGCTGTGTGACTTTGGACAATTTACTTAATGTCTCAATTTCTTCCTCTGTAAAAACAACATAATAATAGGACTCCATTTATAGGGTCATTGTGAAGATTAAGTGAGGAAATGTATGTAAATCACTTAGCATTGTGACTGAGGCTTAATAAATGGTTTCTGTTATCTTGGATTTAGAAACAGTTTCCTACTGGAACTACTGTCAAAGAAGAGAAAAAAAATCTACGCCCCACTGCCAGACCCACCCAGAGCCCAAGGTCTTCACTGTCAGCCAGAAATTGGGGGGGGGGGGCATTCCAAGGTGAAGAAAGTGAATTTGAGGGCCAGAGATTTAGTCCCGTGGTTTGCCACCTGCCTTGCAAGCACAAAACCCTGAGTTCAATCCCCGGTACAAAAAAAAAAAAAGAAAGTGAATTTGAAAGATGCTTTTTCACAGCTTGATTTTTGTGGGGTTTTTGTTTTTGTTTCTGCTTTTAGAGAGGGTCTCACTATGTAGTCCAAGCTGGCCTTGAACTCACTGTGATCCTCCTGCCTCAGCCTCAGGAGTGCTGAGATTACAGGTCTGTGCCATCACAGCTGGCTGATTGATTGATTGATTGATTTTTTTTTAAAGATCATACTTTTTTTTGGTACTGGGTATTGAACTCGGAACCTTGCGTTTTCGAGGCAGGTGGTGGAACAACTGAGCTAAATCTCCAGCCCATGGCTGATTTATTTTTAATCTTGAACAATAGCCAGGCAGCTGCTTCTGTAATACCAACTACTCTGGAGGCTGAAGCAGGAGAATGAAAAGTTCAAAGCTGGCCTAGGCAATTTAGGGAGACCCAGCCTCAAATAAAATAAGTTAAGCATGGTGGTACATGCCTATAATCCCAACTATGAAGGAGCCTGAAGCAGGAAGATCTTCAGGTTGAGTCCCTCCTGGGCAATTTAGTGAGACCCTGTCCCAAAATTAAAAATAAAACATCTGGTCCAGGTATTCCTGGTGGTACCCACCCATAGTCCCAACACTCTGGGAGGCTGAGGCAGGAGGATAACAAATTTGATCCTGGCCCAGGGTTGTAGCTCAGTGGCACAGCATCTGCCTGGCAAATGTCGAGGTCCTGAGTTCGATCCCCTGAGTTCGATCCCCGGTACCAGAAACAAAACAAAAGAAAAACAAATTTGATCCCAGTCTGGGCAATTTAACAGCTTAATGAAACTCTACCTCAAAATTAAAAATAAAAATAGGTCAGGGATGTAACTCAATGTGAAGGCCCTGGGTTCAGTCTCCAACACCAAAAAAGAAAAGCTGGGATGTAAGTGGTAGAGCATTTGCCTACCATGTACTAAGCCCCAGGTTCAATCCCAGTACTGAACACCCCCTCAAACAAAGGGAGGAATAGGGTTGTCAACCAAGGCCTCTCTGAGAAGGTGACGTGTAACTAGAGTCTTCCATTCGTCATGGAGCAGACACTTTCCGAGCTCCTGCAGGGGCCCGGCAGGTGACAGGATCCACGGCACTGCTCACTCTCAGTCCCCTTTCTGGAGGCTGCTTCTAGCCCACGAGGGCACTGGTCAGGCCCTTTCCCGGCATCTCTCCTCTCGCATGCAGAAAGTCCTTGAGTTTCTTCAGGAGTTTGTGGTTTTCCCTAAGAGGCCCCAGTCTGCAATGGAGCTGGTGATACAGGGAGCGCTGTAGGATGCCGGGACCCTGGCCTCCTGAGAGCCACCCCCAGTGTGAATGGAGCGGGGAGCAGCCAGCAGCCCCTTCTCCAGATCTAGGTCAGACTGACCTAGACAGACAGGGAGGAGCATTGCATTGGAAGCTCACTGTCCATGCTCTCCGTGCCGTAGTCTGGTTTCTTTCATCAACCAGCATCTTTGTTAGGTCCCATGACTTTTCTAAGTTGTGGTTTCTCCGTCGGTGAAGAGAGCCCCGACACCTAAGCTGCATCTCTTGCTGATGGTGGCGGTCACAGTTGTCGGTCTCCGAATGAATCCCGCTCCTCCTAGTGTTTTCGTAATCTACTGTCACGGGTCAGCATCCACACACAGGTTGACAGCTACCAGCCAGTGCCTCCGCCTTGTCATCCCAAAGGCCCTGGCCGGGCTCCGTGCAGCGCTGGTGTCCCGGATGAGTTTGCAGTCACAGCAGCAGGAATGGGAGTGGTAGCAACATGGGCATTACAATCCGAAAATCCTGGGCTTGACTCCCAGTAGTTCCCCTCACTGGCTATATGTAATCATGGGGGAGCCATTGCTCTGAGCTTTTTGGTTTGGTTTGGGGTTTTTTTGGTACCGGGGATCGAACTCTGGTCCTTGCGCTTGCGCAGCAGGCAGCGAAACTGCTGAGCTAAATCCCCGGCCTGGTTTGGTTTTTTGAGACATCTCACTGAGGTGGTTCGGGCTGGCCTGGAACTCAGGATCCTCCTGCCTCAACCCTGTGAGCGCTGGTCTAAGTCCTCCTCCTAGGCGGTCTCTTAGGTTGGTGACTGTTCTCTACCCTTCCACAGCTCTGCAGCCTGCTGGTGCCTCAGGCAACCCAAGGAGCCTCCCACACATCTCTCCAGAGAACCAGAGATTAGTGAGCCCAGGGCCCCAACTGCTGGAGTTTCCTAGAAGCCCTTGCCCAGCTGGTTTTTTTTTTTTTTGGTACTGGGGATGGAACTCAGGACATTGTGCTTGTGAGGCAGGCAGTGGAACCACTGAGCTAAATCCTCAGCCCCCTGGTTTTTGCCTTTTAGTAAATGTACCAGGACCCATTGTGGGGCAACTTGATTTATAATTTCTCTAGACCCTCAATGGCAAATTCATGGCCCAAGTGTGGCCACAGCTCCCACTAGTTGCTGTTAGGGCCCGGTTCCCTGGGAAGTGGACTCAGGTTTGCACGCAGGGCGTGTGCTAGAGATGCTGCTGCTGCTCTGAAAGTCAGTGATCTGGGAGGAAGAAGGCAGGAGAAGAGCAAGAGACAAGATGAATTATAGCTCAATGTGGCGGTGCACATTGGTAATCACGGCCCTCTAGGAGGCTGAGGCAGGAGGACTGAGAGTTCAAGGCCAGCCTGGGCAGTTTAGGGACTTAGTGACAGCCTGTCTCAAAATAGAAGACAAAAAACGGGCTAGGGATGTAGTTCTATATGAAGGCCCTGCCTCAGCCCCAGAAGAAGAAGAAGAGGAAGGAGAAGGAGGAGGACAAAGAGAAATATGATGTACACATAACAAAGGCCCCATAATCCTCCAGGGAACTTGAAGCTGGAAGTCCGATGCAGTTTTCTCCTATCGTGGACCAGTACATGGATGCTCTTCAAGAGCAAAAAAACACACTTGGAAGGCTGAGGGAGGAGGATTGTGGTGAGCTCGAGGCGGGCCTGGGCTACATAGTGAGTTCAAGGCCAGTCTGGACTGCATAGCAAGACCCTGTCTCAAAAAATCAAAAATATATATGCCACCAAGAGCAAAAAAAATCCAGGCATGTGGCACACATCTGTAATCCAAGCACTTGGGAGGCTGAGGCAGGAGAATTGTGAGAAATTTGACGCTAATCTGGCCTACAAAATGAGTTCAAGGCCAGTCCAAACTACGTAGCAAGACTTTGACTCAAAAAAAAAGAGAGAACCAGGTCCTGGAGAGAGGATAGCTGAGGGCCTCTAATACTCTGGCAGCTGGAGAACTGAGCAGCTTGGCCCTGGGACAGTGAACCGGAAGCAGTCTCTAGGATTCACCATGTGTGCTGAAGCAGAAGTTGCCAAGAAATTCCAGTGTTCCTCTTCCCAGCCAGGGTGGGCTTCCAGAGTCTTCGGGAGACCTGAGGAATCTGAATGTGTGTGATGTCACCACGTGGGGAAGCGCTCACTTGGGACGGAGCAGGTGTGGGGCAGTTATGACGCTGAGGGGACACACCGGGCAGTGACTGGACATTCTCGGTTGTCATGGCTGGGGATGAGGAAGGGAGAGGAACTGCTGGCGCCTAGGAAACAGAGGCCCCTGGACAGCCCTGCGCTACACAGAATGATGTCCCCAGGAGCAATGACATTGGGGTGAAGCCCTGGGTAGGGCCTATCCTGGGACCCGCAGGTCCTTGTTTTCAGTCTGCAGGTCTGCAGGTCGGAAGGGGAGGGTAACTCACCTGTGACGTGCTAGGGTCACAGGTGAGAATGGGCTGGAGGGCACAGATGCTGGGAGATGGGGGCCGGAAGGACTGTTGGGGGTGGCAGCCTTGGAAACCAGACAGCTGTGCAGTAGCTGTGGGGCTTGGTGAGCGGCTATGGTGGAACAGGGGACCACCCAGCTCTTGACACAGCTATGATTGAATAATCTTTGTGTGATTAAGATGCTTAATATCTATCTCTCTTCTGCCCTAGACTGTAAGCTTCAGGAGGACCTGGAGCTGTGACTTGCGGCTCCATCCCCAGCAGGGTTCAGTGCCTGTGGCACAGCAGTGTCTGAAGGTGTGGATGGCCTGGGGCTTGGGTCAGTGCTGCTCTTCACTGCATTGGGAACTGAAGAGGCGAGAGAGGAGGGAAGGCCATTCAGTTTCAAAAAAAGTAATGCCCCCGAGGCTCACAGTCTAAAGCGACAGACAGACAGAAACAATACATCTTTTTTATGTGTGTGGTAGTACTAGAGATTGAACCCAGGGCCTTGACAATAAACTATATCCCCAGCTCTTTTTTTTTTTTTTTTTTGGTACCAGGGATTGAACTCGAGACCTTGCGCTTTCGAGGCAGGGGCCGGAAACACTGAGCTAAATCCCCGGCCCATTTTTTTTTTTTTTCTTTGAGACAGGATCTTGCTAAATCACCAAATTGCCCAACCTGGGCTAGAACTTGCTATCCTCCTGCCTCAGCCTCCCAGAGTCCTGGGATTACTGGGGTGTACTGCCACACCTGGCTAACAGCAGACTTTTATTTTTGGAGCTGGAGGCTGAACCCAGGGCTCCTCCCACAATAAGCACATGCTCTCCCACTGAGCTGCACCCCTAACCCAGCATACCTTTAATCTACTTCCTGAACACGGGCAAATTAATTTTTTGAGACTTGGTTTTCTTATTGGTAAAATATAGCAATTTTTACCTCCCTTCGTAACTAGACAGTAAGATTAAATGAGTGATCCAGCACTTCTAAGAATACCTGGAACAATTTAAGCCAAGGACCTGACCAGACATTTGTATACCATGTTCACAGAGAATTATTCACAACAGCAAAATTAAAGAAAAAGCAGAGGCTGGGGGGACCCAAAATCCACTCATGGATGAAGGTATAAACAGTGTGGTATGCACATGAAAGGAAATACTCTGAAAAGAATGAAATTCCCATACATGCTTCAACGTGAATGAAACCTGAGAACATCTCACTAAGTGAAATGACCCAGGCACAAAAAGGACAAATAGTACAGGACAGATACAGGTACTTACAGCCAAGTGTGGTGGTAAATGCCTGTAATCCTAGCACTCTGGTGGCTGAGGCAGGAGGATTGCTATAAATTTGAGGACAGCTTGGGCTACATAGTGAGTTTAAGGTCAGCCTGAACTGCATAGCGAGACTTTGTCCCCAAAAAAGAAAATAAATAAGAAGTTCAAGCCCAGCCTGGGCTACTCAGTGAGACTTTTTCTCAGAAAACCCAAATTGAAACCCAAATGAAACCAAAGCAATCAACAAACAACCCCCAAGAAGTACCTAGAACAGGCAACTTTTGAGGCAAAAATTACTACCGTGGTGGTTGGGAGGCAGACTCCACACTGATTGGAATGTACCTAATGCCACCGAATTGTACACCTAAAAAGAGTTCAGCTGAGCATGGTGGTGCGTAACTAGTCCCAGCTACTCAAGAGGCTGAAGCAGGAAGATCACAACTTTAAGGTGACTTAGTGAAACTGTCTCAAAATAAAATGTAAAAGGGCTGAGAGTGTAGCTTCATGGTAAAGCACCCCAGTTTTGGCCCCCAGTACTGGAAAAAAAAGTTAAAATGGTAAATTTTACATTATGTACACTTTACCACAATAAAAAAGATGAAATGAGATCAGCTTATAAGGATGAGGCCTCTTAGCCCAGGGTATAATAGTCATTCTCACCGATTTTGCTGGGAGCTTTAATTCACTGGTAGAGTGCTTGCCTAACGTGTGCAAGGGCCTCGGTTCAACCCCCAGAACAGCAAAAAATTTTGTAGAAAGCTGAGCTAGTATCAGTTTTTTTCCTAGAAGTGGACTCACAGGAGGAGAAGAAACCAGGAGCCGGAAGAGCAGAAGCAGACAGGCTGGCTAAGGCCTGAGGCTCCCACTCCTCCTCCCACAGGCTGTGCCAGGTCTCGGCCTACCGGACAGAGCCCTTCCCAGACTGCCCCAGGCCCTGCTGTTTAGCAGGGCAGGAATTTCCGGGCCTGAGGTATTTGCCTTTGGTGTTTTAACTATTGACCTGTTTCTATTCCGCCCTATGCTTTGTCTGAAACCCTAAGGGCAGAAAACCAGGAGCCTGGGCCTCCCACCGCTTGGGCCCTAATTAGTATTTTATCCCTGTGTAGAGAGGAAAGCACCCAGCCTTTGTGCCTTCTTTACATGTATCACTTTATTTTATCTTATTTTTAACACGTATGATGGTAGAGGAAGGGCCTGTAGGAGTTTCTCCGCCCAAGGTACTCATTTCACAATGAAGCCACCATCAGGCAGGGCAGGAACCAGACTGCAGTGTGAAGGGAGACACAGTTCCAGAAAGCTGCAAAGTTGCTCCTATCTACTCTGGCTCACAGGAGCTAGGGGTGTGTCTAGCACATGATACATATGTGTGTGTGTGTATGTATATATATTTGTTGTTTTTTGGTACTGTGGATCAAACTCGGGTCCTTGCGCCTGAGAGGCAGGCAGCGGCACCACTGAGCTAAATCCCAGGCCCTGTTGTTTCTTAGACAGTCTAGCTCTGTAGCGCAGGCGGGCCTTGAACTTACCATGTTCCCCAGGCTGGCCTCTAACTGGAAGTGATGCTCCTGCCTCAGCCTCTCAAGTGCTGGGATTACAGGTGTGCTCTACCACGACTGGTTCTAGCACATTATTTTTTATTTTTTTATTTATTTTTTGTTTTTTTAAATTTATTTTTTGTTTGTTTGTTTGTTTGTTTTTGGTACCGGAGATCGAACTCCTCGAGTCCTTGAGCTTTCGAGGCAGGCGGCAGAACCACTGAGCTAAATCCCCAGCCCTCTAGCACATTACTGACTCATAATAAATGTTTATGTAATAAATGGCATTCTGGAGTCTCTCTGGGGTTAGACCAGAACTACTTTATGCAAACTGCTATACAACTGTCCGTGTTGGAGATTTCAAGTGAATTACCCCAGTAACCTTTGAGAAGCCACCAGCCTAAGGGAGATGTAGTCATGTGGAACAAGATCATAGCCCCACACCCCAAAGACTAAATTGATGAAGGTTTTTGGGTTGTTGTTTTTTTTTGGTACTGGGGATGGAACTTGGGACCTTGCGCTTGTGAGGCTGGCGGCGGAACCACTGAGCTAAATCCCTGGCCCTCTATGAAGGTTTAATACAAGCAACTTGGGTGCAACCTGATATAAGGAAGAGCCTTGGGGTTCTGAGGTTCGTGACCAGATGGATGCAAGGCAGGTAGGGTGGAGGTGAGGGTGGGTAAAAACCAATGACCTGAAATTGAATTGGCTTTCCTAGAAGTTTCACTCTGGCTGTGTAGAATGTTGGTGCGTTGGGCTCTTAGAAATCATGTTAAGCACCTGGCATGGCGGCGCATGCCTGTAATCCCAGTACATGGGAGGGTGAGGCAGGAGTATCACTGCCAGTTCGAGGTCAGCCTGGGCTACATAGACTGAGACAGGAAGGTAGGGCGAGGCTAAAACTGGCTGGGAAAAGGGGCTTGACAAGATCCCGCCGTACATGCGCAGAACAGCTCCCAAAGCGTTGGCTTCTCTTGAGAACTCCAGCAGGTTTTCCATAGGGTGGCCTAGACCGGATGTCAGCCTGAGGGGCGGGTGATATAAAAAAGATGGCCCACATTGAGTTTGTGCCACTGGGTTCGCTCTTGCATGGTGGATGCCCTCATGTTGTCGGGTGTACTTCTTTTCCTACTTTTACTTCGCCCGAACTCTCCTGCAGAGCCTATTTCTTTTCCTATCTTTATTTTATTTTATTTGGGGGGGGGTACTGGGGATCGAACTCAGGTCCTTGAGCTTGCTAGGCAGGCAGTGAAACCACTGAGCTAAATCCCCAGCCCTCTTTTCCTATCTTTAATAAAACTGCAGAAAATAAAATAAAATAAACTTTGCTATCATTTGTGCTCATCTTGACCAATTCTTGCTCAGGACAGAAAGAATCTAGACACCACCTCTAGAAGGAGACTCAAGCACTCCAAAAGCCTTAACAAGACCCTGTCTTTAAAAACGAAGAAATAAATAAGAATGAAAGGCTATCTAAGCCCCTGCTGAGAGCAGGGGTGAGTGGAGGAGCCATCAGATCCCCTTGCTAGCCAAGTCCTGCACCCTTAGACGACGTTCCCCTGACTCACTGTGCAGCCTTAGCCAAAAGGCTGGACTGCACTTTTCTGCACCCAGGCAACTTTCCCAAGACTGGGGAGGTGGATTAGACTGGGATTCTAAACCCAAAGGCTGACTGGGGCCGGGCCAGTGATAGAAACACCTAGGGAGATCAGCATTCTCCACAGAGGTATGTTCTCTTTCAATTTCCTTGCAATATCGTCACTCATTTCCTATTTCTGGTGGAACAATAGAGAAAACTAAAGAAAGAAAAGTAGAACCTCATGTGTGTGTGGGTGGGGGGGTGGTATACACCTGTAATCTCTGCATTTTGGGAGGCTGAGGCAGGAGGATGTTAAGTTTGAGTTTAGCCGAGGAAGTAGGTGACACTCCGCCCCCCACCAAAAAAAATGCCTGGGGATGTAGCTCAGCATGAAGGCTCTGAGTTCAATATTCAGTACTGGGAAATAAAAGGACTGATGAACAGAGAGGGTGCACACCTCTAATATCAGCTACTCAAGAGGCTGCTAGAGGACAAGTTCAAATGCAGCCTGGACTGCCTGGACATCCTGTCTCAAACCCATAAAAAGCCAGGCATGGTGGCACACACCTGTACTACAAGACTCAGGAGGCTGAGGCAGGAGGATTGCAGGGAGTTCAAGGCCAGCCTGGCCTACTTAGTGAGCTCAAGGTCAGCCTCCATAGTGAGACCCACTGTGTCTCAAAAACAAAAAGAGAACAAAAGCAACAGTGAAGAAAATCCAACTGGCACAAGGCCGGGGCAAGGAGAACCAAAGGGGCCCGAAGCCTTTCCTGTCTGAGTGGCATGTGCAGGATGCTCACCCAGTCTTCAGAGGGACCGATGCTCAACTTGGGCTGCCAGGTGCAGGGGAATGCGTCAGCCATGGGTTAGCCGATCTTAGGAGCTCTCTGCAGAAGCGGAACATATGAGTTTTTAGATTGGCTCACGTTTTTTCTTAAACACTGGGAGGGCCAAGCACAATATGTTCTGGACTGTGAGCCGCCAGTCTGCACTTCCTGGGTTCTGTGGTTTGAAAGCTTCTTTTCTACTGGTACATTCTGCAGAGGGAGAACAGAGGCAGGAGGAGGAGAGGAGAGGGCTGCAGGAGCCCTGAGGCCCAGCCCTGGGCTTCCTGGCTGGGCTCAGCCAGGTTGGAGGGGTGGGGAGAGGAAGGCCCAGCCTTTCAGTAGCAGGCTTTGTTTGGTTTAGCTCTTCCCGCCCTCTCACTTTCAGCTCTCCCTTGAAGTGGAAAGGCCAGGGCCTGGGACCTTCCGAGCAGGTCAGAGCAGCGCAGCCAGTGCAGCTGGAGGCACATCCCTGGCTCCCAGGGCTGGGCAGCTGGGCACCCTGGTACAGAGAATTGGGGCCAGGGTGCCCCAGAGCATGTGCCGTCGGTGGTGGGAGGGCTTGACTGCCAGCCTGCCAGATGGCCAGACCCAGAGCCCGAGGATGGGGGAGCCTGAGCAACACGTCTGGTAGGCAGCTGTGACCAAGTCCTCCTGTGGAGGAGCACAGGGAGGGAGGGGACATCAGGGGACCCTCCTCCTGTCGCCAAGGCTGCCCAGGACACGGGCATCCACCAGGAATAGCATGGGCTCCCTAGGGCACCCGGAAGTCAGCTGCCACGAGAAGGGCTGAGTCATGACTCGCTGAGGGGTCTCTCAGCCTCTCCCATCTGAGGCTGAGTTTCCGTGACTGTGGAATGCTCCCTAGCAAGAACAGCTGTGGCCTTTCTGGGCCCAGCACCCTCTCTGCTCCTTCTGTGGGTAGCACCCTCATTCTTCCTCGGAAAGCTGTCCTGGTCCGACCCCAGTCCACGTGGTCTGGAGGGTCTGACCTTGACTTTCTGTCACCCGGCTCCAGGACAGCCCCATGTGCCAGGCCGGGCGATCAGCAGATTTCATCTCTCGAAGGATCCAATGCGATTCAATTGGAGAAATTCTTCCGGAACTCCTGGGAAAAGTCAAATTGCCAGAGACTGGCTTGATGCATGTCTGGAGGAGCCTGAGGCCATCTGGCTGAGATGGGAAAGGATATTGCTCAAGAAAGAAGCCATTCCAGTGAGACAGCACGAAATAAGAGAGAAGGTGACAGGCGAGTTGATTAAAGAGTATGACAGAGGGAAGAGCTGTGTACGATGCTGCACACCTGGAATCCCGGCACTACGGGAGGCTGAGGCAGGAGGATCAAAGTTAAAGCCAGTCTGGGAAATTTAGTGAGTTAAGAGACTGTATCAAAATAAAAAATAAAGGGCTGGGATGTAGCAGAACGGGAATGCTCAGTTTAATCCCTAGTACTGCAAGATAAACAAGGTTGTTTGAAAAAACAATTGATGAAAGGGATTGAGCCACTGTATCCTACTGGAACTAAAGCAGTCTAGGGCCGGGATTTAGCTCAGTGGTTCCACCGCCTGCCTTACAAGCACAAGGTCCCGAGTTCGATCCCTGGTAACAAAAAAATAAAGAAAAAGTAAAGAAGAGCCTCCCAAGAGAACTTAACTGTCATGAGTCTCCCCCAGAGCAGGCAGGGAATGGCGGCCTGGTCATCTGAGAGTAGATGTCACCATGATACAGGGGGAAGAGATGTAACTCCCAACCTGCTAGATAGCTGAAGCTTGAGTTCCTGTTCTCTAAAGTCGAAGAATGAATTCTGGGAACAATGGAGATTAAGAGTAGAAAAATTTATTGAGAGAATGATAACTTCTAAGAGAGACAGAAGGGGGACTGGAAAATGGGTTGCCCGCTCACCCTGCTTCTCAAAGGTGTTTTATGGGACAAAGCCTTGAGGTGAAGCAGGTTCAAGGTGAAATAACTATAGCCAACTAATAGGATGGCAAGTACAGTCACTAAAGTAGTATTGGTCCAGTGAGAAATCACAAGGCGGAATGGGGTGGGACAAAACTATGATCAACCAATAAGACTATGGCAAGTATAGTTACTTAGGTTTTGTTTTGATACTGGGGATTGAACTCAGGACTTGTGCTTGTGAGGCAGGTGTGGTGCCACTGGGCTAAATCCCCGGCCCTTGCTTAGGTAATATTGATTAAATGGGGATCAAATGGGGAAGCAAGTCACGTACCAAGGGTACAAGGAAAGAGCAAAGATTTTTTGTAGGGGATGGTTCAGGGCCTTTACTGAATGTGTCTTGAATGTCCTCCGTGTTGGTTCCAGGAGACAGCTGGCCCTGTCTAACTGCCTATAAAATATCCAAACCCTATCTATAATAATAAACCTAGACAGGCTGACCACAGAATTATCTAATCTCTCATCTGTTCTCCCAGGGGTCCGTTTTTCCTTCCCAAAAATCACTTTGTTTTCTTGTGGTTTTTTTTTTTTTTTCAGGCAGGATCTCACTATGTATCCCCGGCTGGCCTCAAACTTGCAGCAATCCTCCTGCCCAGCCTCCCAAGTGCTGGTATGATAGATCGCTAAATTAGATGGAAATATTATAGGCAGTCAGACCAGGCTGTGCCCTGGAAGTCAGTGCAGCAGATAAGAACATGACACAATCATGGCTGGAGGCCCATTCGTTGAAGGCCAGGGCTCAAGATAAAGATGAAATGATTACACCTACACTTCCACCAAGGGATGAAAAATAATGACTGATATTCTAAATAGGCATCAGTCACCTTGGGAGGGTGAGACCTCCTGACCCATCCCTTCTAGGAAAGGTTCTTGTTCTATGTACACTTGTGTGACTTGCTTCCCCCATTGCATCACTATTACCTAAGCAAGTATACTTGGTTTTCTTTGTTGTTGTTGTTTGCGTTTATACTTGTAATCTTATTGGCAACCATAGTTTTGTCTCACCTTATGCCCACCTCGTGATTTTGCTCTATAAAACTTCTTTGAGAAGTGGGCTTCTGGGCAGCCCACTTTCTGGGTCCTCTCCTTTCCCTATAAGGCAGGAACTGTCTACCCCTCAATAAACATTTCCTACTCTTAACCTCCATTGTTCCTAGAATTCATTCTTCAATTTTACAGAACACAACCTCGTCGTTGAGACATCTAACAGGTTGGGAGTTATATTTCCCTTACATCATTTGAGGTCCTGATAGGTCCCTAGATCACTGGGATTACTGGATCACTGGGATTACTGGCATGTGCCACCAAACCTGATTGTAAGTGCTCTTCTACTTATCCACGCCTTCCTCTGCTAAAATGATAGATGACCCAGATTTCTAACCTGTGTGTGTGTGTGTGTGTGTGTGTGTGTGTGTGTGTGTAGTACTAGAGATCAAACCAGGGTCTCCTAGAGAGAGTCTAGGTCTCCAAGACTAGCCTTAGACTCTGGGCGATCCTCCTGCCTCAGCCTCCTGAGTGCTGGGATTACAGGGATGTGCCACCACACCCCAGCCATAACCACCTTCTTAGGTCACATATTTCTGTGAATTTCTGTGGGTACATGATTAATCTCTGTTCTCTTGCTACCGTCTTTTGTCAGTTTAATTTACAGCCCTCAGTCACTAACCGTAAGAGGAAAGTGGCAACATTTTTCCTTCCTGAGACATCAAAAACATAAGCAAAAAATACCCTTCCAACATTCTGCACACCATCTATGATTTTCCCTGTGACTTACCAAGCAGTAAACTCTACTTTATTTCCTGCATGGGAGAAAGAAGTCACCAATGATCTGGGCCCCTTAAACCTGCCTTGTTCCTGAATTTGGAGCAATTTACCTAGGAAACTGCAGGGATCCTGATAACTATTATTGCGTCCCTCCCTGGCCTCACCCCCAAAATACATTTTCTGCAGCTCCTGTGTTAGAATCCTTGACTCCTGCACTTCGTTTTGGAGAGTGAATAATAAGAGTTGGGGGCCAGGCATGGTGGTGAAAGCCTGTAACTCCAGCACTTAGGAAGCTGAGGCAGGAGGATTGCCACAAGTTTGAAGCCAGCCTGGGTTACATAGTGAGTTCAAGGCCTGCTTGGACTACATACTGAGATCCTCTTTCAAAAAACAAAGCAACAACAAAAGAGTTAGACAGCAAATTATTCGTGTAAGAGGTTATCTGAGTCCATTTGCTTTTTGTCTTGGAATAATGTGTGGATAACCAAAGTATAGAGAAGTGTATTTTTATATTTGTATTTATATAACGCTCGTGTGTGTGTGTGTGTGCGTGTGTGTGTGTTTCTATGTGCTTATGTGGACTTTGAGAAGATACACAGAGATAGCACCCTAGCACCCTTATTGTCTGGCACTTCACTGTCTAAATTCAGGAAACAAAATAGAGCTGGGTGTAGTTCTGCTTGTAGTGGTGCTTGCCTAAAATCCCAGCACTCAAGGAGGCTGAGGCAGGAGGATTGCCAAATTTGAGCCCAGCCTGGGCAATTTGGTGAGATCCTGTTTCAAAATAAAAAATAAGGGCTGGGGATTTAGCTCAGTGGTTCCACCGCCTGCCTCGCCAGCGCAAGGACCCAAGTTCAATCCCCGGCACCAAAAAAACCCAACAAAACAAAATAAAAACAAAAGGGCTGGGCATGTAGAACAGTGTGAAGGCCCTGGGTTCAACCTCCAACACTGCAAAAGAAAGGAAATGGAAGGGAAGGGAAGGGAAAGAAAAAAAGCCAGCCAGGCATGGTGGCGCACACCTGTGATCCCAGCTCTTAGAAGGCTGGGGCAGAAGTATCTCCACAAGTTCGAGGCCAACTTGGGCTATGTAGTGTGTTCAACACCAGCCTGAGCTACATAGCAAGACCCTATCTCAAAATAAATAAATTAATTAATTAAAAATAAAGTAATTTTTTTTTTTTGGTACCTGGGATCAAACTCGAGACCTTGTGCTTGGGAGGCAGGCACCAGAACCACTGAGCTAAATCCCCAGCCCAAAAATAATTTTTTTTTTTTTTTGGTACTGGGGATCGAACTCGGGACCTTGTGCTTGCGAGACAGGTGTCGGAACCACTGAGCTAAATCCCCGGCCCCAAAAATAAAGTAATTTTTAAAAGAAATCAAATAGATTTGGTTGGGAAGATGTTTGTTCAAATGCGCACACACACACACACACACACACACACACACACACACACACGAGCACCCCAATCAAGTATATGAGGCAGACATGCTGCTCTGTACCTTGCTGCTAAGTTATGCAAAGATCAGCCCATTTTGGCACACGTGATGAGCCTCATGTAAGAGCACACAGTAGGAGCAGGGCCTGGTGGTATACTCCTGCAAACCAGTATTCTGGAAAGCTGAGGCAGGAGGATCTAAAGAAGTCCAGCCTGGGCAACTTAGAAGACTAGGTCTCAAAATAAATTATTTTATTTTACTTTGAGTCAAGGTCTCACTATGTATTCAGGTTGACCTTGAACTCACTATGCCGCCCAGGGTGGCCTCAAACTTGTGGAAATCCTTCTGCCTCAGCTTCCCAAGTGCTGGGATAACAGATATATGCCACCATGCTGGGCTAAAATAAATTTTTAAAAAAACTGGTGGGGATTGGCCGGGTGTGGTGATGCACACCTGTAATGCTGACACTCAGGAGGCTGAGGCAGGCAGATTGCCATGAGTTTGAGGCCAGCCTGGGGTATATAGTGAGTTCAAGGCCAACCTGCACTACATAGCAAGACCCTGTCTCGAAAAACCAAAAGAAAAAAACCCCAACCAACCAAACAGATGGGGATGTAGCTCAGTGTGAAAGCCCTTGGTTCAATCCCCAATAATGGTGGGGGGAGAAAAAAAAAGCACCCTACATTCTGTTGTCCCAGTGCATTTTATTTGTTCAGCCAAATCGACTCCTCCCCCTGGCTCGCTGGCCTTTCCCCCAGTCTCCTGCTAACCACCATCCAGGCTGCAGCAAGTCGCTGTGTGAGAAAGAATCTGGGATAAATTCCTAGCAGTGGACACTGGCCCAAGAGGAAGGGCCCTGTACCACCCACAGTCCTGGATCCTGCAGGGGTGAGGGGAGCAAGCGCCGGGCAGGGGAGCAGCAGTGACTTTTGCAAAAGCCCCTCACTGAGTCACCTCCCAGTGTTTAGTAAATGCTGCATTCTATTCTCCAAACCCCAGAGCAGCTGTGGGGTGATTCAGGCTGTCTCACTCCCCTTGCAGAGAGGAGAGAGAGGGCTTGCACCTTGTAGCAGGCCCAGCTGTGCAGAGCCAGCCACAGAAGCTCCCAGGTGTGCCCCTGCCCGGAAGGGTCTCTTCCCCTGCCTTTCAGACAGTAGGATGCACCATCTCTGCTGGGTTCTCCAGTGCCAGCTCCCTCTCTGTGCCTCCACCTCATCTGTAAAGTCGGAAAACAGCGGGATCCCCCCACCCCCACCCCACCCCCACCCCCGGGCTTGTTGGGACTCATTAATTGGACTAATACTTTCTTAAGTGCTGAGAACAATATTGTTCTTGAGCACAGTATGAGCTCCATCTCCAGCCCTTTTTTGTTCTTTATTTGGAGACAATAAATTGCCCAGGGTGGTGTCAGACTTGCTATTCTCCTGCCTCAGTCTCCTGGGGTGTTGGGATTCCAGGTTTATGCCTCCTCACCCAGGATATTATTGTTTTCGTCTTCATTTAATCCTTGCAACCTTTCTCAGAGAGATGTGAGGGCTACTATCATCTTGGTCTTACAGATAGGGAAACAGAAGCTGGGAAAGATAAAGAGACCTTTCCGAGGTCACGGGGCACAGGAGTGGAACTCAAAGTAGGTCAGTCCAGCTCTGCTTATTGCTGATGGGGATCTCACTGGGCGGCAGGCTGGGCATCGTGACCGTGTGAATGAGGGGCCTGGGAAGCTCAGTCCCCTCAGATGTCCAGTGACCGAACCCCCAGGCACCGTCCACCCTACTACCCAAGATCGCAGTGAGAACCACCCATCTGCACAGCAAGTGGTCACAACAGCCGGGTTTTGGTTTGGTTTTGATTCTTGGTCCTGGGGATTGAGTGTAGGGTTTTCATACTGAGCTGCAGCCCCAATCTCTCTCTCTCTCTCTCTCTCTCTCTCTCTCTCTCTCTCTCTCTCTTTCCAATACTGGAGATTGAGCCAACGGCCTAGGGCAGGTATGGCAAACCTTCTAGAGACCGAGTGCCCAAACTGCAACCCCAAACCCACTTGTTTATTGCAAAGTGCCAACACTGCAGTTAAGCCTGAAGGCTCACTGCTGGGGCCATGCTGGGCTGACTTGGCTTGCCTGCCCGGAAAGCTCTGCATGCCCACTGTGACATTCGTGCCATAGATTCGCCACCACTGGCCAAGGGCCTTCATACTGAGCCACATTTCTAGCCCTTTTTATTTTTCATTTTGACTTTGTTTTTTGAGACAGGGTCTTCCTACGTAGTCCAGGCTGGCCTTGAACTCACAGCAATCCTCCTGCCTCAGCCTCCCAAGTGCTGGGATTACAGGCATGCCCCATCATACCTGGCAACCCTGTTCCATTTAGCAAGACCCTCTCTTGATATAAATTTTTTTGGGGGGGGATCGAACTCAGGACCTTGCGCTTGTGAGGCAGGCAACAGAACCACTGAGTTAAATCCCCAGCCTTGATATAAAAAATTTAAAAGGCTGGGCATGTAGCTCAGTGCAGAGATCCCAGGTTCAATCCCCAAGAATGGAAAAAAGAATGGGCAGCTCAATCATATCATCATCATCATCATTTTTAGCAATCTAGACTGAAAAGCAAAACAGAAGCCAGGGCCGCTGATGTTCCTCTGGACTAGAGGGTTCGTAAGGCATCTTGGGCTCAGATGTCTTGACTTTCCCAGCACTTCTGCGGAAACAGCACAATTCCCACCGCAAGAGGCTGTGATGGGGAAAGCAGAGGGCAGAGGGGAGGTGAAGAACCCAGTGTCTCCTACCACTCCCGTCCCCGAAGTGATGGAGGAACAGGGGTGTGGGGGAGCAGCCGGGGTCCCTGGGGCTGCGAGCTGCCAGGGCACCTGGAGACTGAATTTCCCTCGCAATGGGAAACCGGCCGCAGGCAGCCGCCCACACCAGCCGGCTCTCTCCGCCCCTCTTCCCTCCCCTCTTTTCCAATGGAAAACCTGCCCCTGCACCTCTTGTAGTGGTTGCAGCCCTCGCGGTGGCCCTGTCGCCAGCAGACAGCGCGCCCGGCGTGATGCATGAGCGAAGTCGCCCCGCCTGGCAGGCGCATGGCAGCGAGCCAGGGCAGAGCAGCGCCAGGCTCGGAGCCCACAGCCCCGCCCTCGAGGCTCCCAGGGCAGGTGGTAGCGATGGCTCAGGGCAGAACAGATAACCGTGAGGACGTAGGGTACTGGTGCACAGTGGGGACTCGGGAGGCTGACAGCTGGGCCCTCCGGGTGTCTAAGACACCACTCATGCGTACATGGAGCCAGGGCCAGCACGCTGCTGGGGCACTGCAAGTGTGATCTTGGGGTGGGAGCGGGCTGGTCTGAATTTAAGCTCCATCTCTTCTTAGCTGAGTGACTTTGGCACTCATTCAACAGCCAAAGCCCGCCCCTATGGGCCCAGTTCCGGGACACAGCCATGAACAGGCTGAGACAGCTCGAAGTCTCCCCGACCTTCGCATTCACCTGAGAGATAGGAGACTGACATGAACACATGACGGGTGGATGAACTAGGAACCTCCGCGAGAGCTGAGCAGGGAGGTGAGCGGTCACACAAGCCCCTCCCTGGAGGCGACACTGGAGTTACATCTGCGGGAGCAAGGCCCAGGTGAAAGCCTTTGAAAAGAGCTTCAGGCAGAGCACAGCATGCATTCCTGTCAGGCAGGAGCAAACCTGGGAATATGTCAGAATGAGGAGAGAGAGAGAGAATTTTCAGCAGGGGAGGGGTAAGGTGAGGAGGAAGATGGAAGGGAGAGCAGCTGAGCAGCTATGAGGTAGAGCTGGGAACAAAAGCCAAGCCCTCTGCCCTTCCAGCTCCTCATCCGGGCTGATAGTACAGCAATGTAGCACAATGGCAGATGCCAGCAACCCTTTACAGTGGTGACTGAGCCTTTTTCTTCCCTAGTCCACAACACCTGGCATAGGCAGGTATATAGCAGGTGCTCAAGAATACATGAGCATTCAATAATGTTGAAAGAACATTCACCTCACAGCTGCAAAGTGACAGGATTTAGCTGAGTGTGGTGTCGCACGCCTGTTTGATCACAGCACTCACAAGGCTAAGGCAGGAGGATCGCTGTGAGTTCGAGGCCAGCCTGGGCTACCTAGTGAGACCCTGACTACAAAAACAAAGCAGAGTGACAGGATTTGATAATTCCAGAATGTTGGTTCTAGTAAGGTCTTCATAGCCTCTTCTGCCCCTCAGGAGGAATACAAGGTGCTGACTGGGGTGGATTTGTGCAAGCTTACACACCAGTCAGTGGTAGGATCCTCCCACCCAGTGCCTTTTGTCGGTCTACTTCCTTCCCCCTCTGCCTCTCAAGATGTCAGAACCAGCAGGTCAGGGGCTTTCCCAGCACCGGGACTGAAGCCAGGAGCACAGGGCCCCAGGGAATGAGTCACTGAGTAGGATCGGGGCAGGAGTAGGGCCTCAAAAACAAGGAGACTAGGGCTCAGGATTTAGCTCAGTGGTTCCGCCACCTGCCCTGCAAAAGCAAGGACCCGAGTTCGATCCCCAGTACCAAAAAAAAAAATGTGCCGGTAAAAACAAGGAGACTAGCCAGGTGGGCATGGTGGCCCACACCTGTAACCCTAGCACTCGAGAGGCCCAGGCAGGAGCATCTCGAGTTTGAGCCCAGCCTAGAAAATAGTAAGTTTGAGGCTACCATGGACTACAAAATGAGATCCTGTCCCCCTCATCCCCCAAAAGTGAGGATCTCAGGCAGTGTCAGAAATGACAAGGGCCAGGCAGGACTCAGAACCACATGTCATCGTGTAGCTGGAGGGATAGTACAAGTGGGCTGCCAGGGCCCACACCGCACCACTGTGCTACCTGCTCCACTCACCTCATTGTCTCTGCTTTACTTCGGGTCTCCCAGGGACCCTGTTTCCCAGAGGTTTTTATGGAACAAAGCCAGGAGGTGAGGCAGGTTCAAGGTGGGACAAAACTATAGTCAACTAGTAATATTACAAGTACAGTTGCTTAGGTAGTATTGGTCCAGTGGGAAATCACAAGGGGGACATGAGGTGGGACAAAACTATGATCAACCAATAAGATCTCAGCAAGCATAATTGCTTAAGTATTATTGATTAAATGGGGATCCAATGGGGAAGCAAGTCACGGAGTAAGGTACAAAGAATGAACAAGGATTTTCGGATTTTCAGTAACGGAGGATGGGCCAGGGGCCTTTCCTGGAAGGGATGAATTAAGGTCTTGGTCCCCACCCAGGTGATTGATACCTATTTAGAATAGCAATCACTGCTATTCCTCCCTAGGAGAAGCACCTGGGTGCAGTACCGTTTGTCTTTTTATAATGCTAACCAGTGAATGTGCCCCAATTGCTCCTCTCTCTTGCTCTTCTCTCTCTCTCTCTCTCTTTCTCTCTTTCTCTCTTTCTCTGTCTCTTTCTCAATTGCTTTTCTATGCTGAGGGCCCAGCTTTAACTGCCTTATAATAATTTCTAACTCACTTAGCTATCTGCAATGACACCACCTCTGATCAGAAAGCTGGGATCAGGAGGAAGGGTGGAGGTCTGTGGGCTTTTTGCATGGAATTTGCAAAGGTGAGCAGGGTCTTGGTGATGGATTGGATCTGGGGTCGAGGAGGAGCAGGAGGCCAGGTATCTGGGAAGCCTGCAAGGGTGAGGTGGGGCTGGGGAAGAATGAGGTCATGTAGAAGCTCTATCTGCAGAAGTGAGACAGGTTCCATCCAGTAAAGTTTTATTGTGACACAGGGTCTCACTCAGTGGCCAAAGGTGGCCTTGAACTTGTCATCCTCCTGTCTCTGCCTCCCAAGTAACTGGGACTATAGGAAGTGCTAGGACACCTGGCCCACTGGGACCTCTTTAGTGTAAAATGCCTGAGGGGCATGCAAGGGCTCAGTCCTGAGAGCCACCTGGTTTCAGAGCAGTCCAAAGGCTCTGCCTAGAACCAGCTCCTGAACTTCCTTCCCAGGGCCTCAATTTTCTCATCTGCGAAGTGGCTAACACCATTGCCCGCCTCATAGAGTTGTGAAGATTAAATGGATATAAAATAATTAGTCTGCATCTACTTAATATAGCAATAAGGGCCTGAGTAGTGTTTAAAAATGGTCAGCTGAGCACGTATGTGAGTGGATAGGGTCTTGGCTTTGACGAGTAGAAGCTATTTGGGAGGAGCTGGCTTACTCTCCGCAGGACCCGTCCCTGCCTCTTGGGTACTCAGGTGAGGGTTAGAGGTTCGAGCCCCGGATAGGATTGGGGGGAGGGGGGACTGTGCTACTTTCCATCCCCATGCACACACAAGAGACAGACATGCAAGTGCATGCATGCACCCACACGTGTGCCTGGAGGCAAAATCCTTATATGACCAAGGGACTTTGGAGGCCCAGAGGGCTTTTATTCTGTAGGAGTGGGGCTTTAGAACATTGTTTTGGGAGAAGAATGGCCAGGCTGTTTCAAGTGTTCTCCCTTTCTGGGGCTGGACTAAAGTACTTTTTTTTTTTTTTGGTACTGGGGATCGAACTCAGGTCCTTGCGCTTGAGCAGCAGGCGGCGAAACCACTGAGCTAAATCCCCAGCCCATGGACTAAAGTACTTTTGAATCTAGGCCATAGAGAGAGCTCAAGTACAACTCAGAACTTCATTCATTCAACTAGTACAGTATCCAAGGCCGATCAATCCTCAGACCGCCTAGAAAGGGCCGGTGAGGCCTAAAGAAAAAGACAATAGAAACTTGGGTAATTTCAAAGCATGTGGGGAGGCTGGGAGATCAGTGCCTCAGAGTGGGCGGAAGACCGAGACATTTGGAGCTTTCCAGTATTTATTGGCTCACAGGGAGATCAGATGACTCAGAGGGTGGCGTTAATCCTGCGTTCCCGAGGATCTTCTGCTGATGTAATGTTGCCCTTGAGCATCACAACATCACGGGACCACTGAGGCCTCAGACAGCCCTAATCATAATTTAATCGTGAAATGATTTTTTTCCCCCAAATTATGTAGAAAGGCTCCCAACAGTACAGTGCTTCTCAGCCAGGGACAGTTTTGCCCCCAGGGACCATCTGTGGCTATCTGGGAATATTTTTGGTTTATTTTTGTTGTCAGTACCAGGGATCAAACTCAGGACCTTGCACTTGCCAGGCAGGCCCAGTGCTACTGAGCTACATCCTGGCCCTCACTTAGGTGATATTGATTAAGTGGGGATCGAATGGGGAAGCTAGTCACACAGCAAGCAAGCATACATACGTAGAAGGAACAAGGACTGCCAGGGAAGGAATGGGCTAGTGAGGTTTTGTTCCCCACCCAAGGTGATTGATAGTCACTGCTCCTCATCTAGGGGAAGAATGTGAGCGTGAGCATTGCACGTTTCCTCTTTTTATAATGCTGACCTTCAGTCAGTGTATCTGGATTCTTTCCTATGGGCTGCTGGAGGGCTGGCCCTAACAGCCTAGGAGATATCTAATTAATTTAGCTTTCTCCAATAGCAGGAGGAGGGGAGACTTGGGTCAGATCAGATGTGTGGGCAGCCAGGGACCAGGGTCTAAGCTGCTGGACACGAGTGCTGTGGGCACCTTGGGCTGGGGTGGTGAAGTCCACCTCTCCACAGATGGGTCCTCGCCTTCAAAAATGATTATTTAAAAAAATGATCACTTTTATTGTTTCCCCAGGCTAGAAAGGGGCCTTCTGAATTTCTCTGAGGCAGCCCTCTCCCTTCACCCAGGAGGAAAAGGGTGGTGGGAGGTGGGGGCGCTGTGGACCACCCCCAGCTGCCTGCCAGCTGCTCCTCCTGGCTCCTTATCAGCCAGAAGCTCCAGTTTCCTCAGCCACCAGCGATCAGATGTTGCTTCAGAGCCCCAGGATGCTGGATGTCTCTTTTATGTTTGGCAAAAAGAGGTACCAGCCTGGCGGAGTGCGGTCGGCCTTGGACCAGCTCGAGGGTGGGGAACCTCGCTCCTCAGCCAGAGCTGGGGGCAGTGCCAAGCGGAAAGCGTGAAAGGCCAAGCTGCAGATGCCTCCCCTTTCTGCAGGAGAGGTCTCCAGGCTGAACAAAAGAGGCCCCGTGAGGCAGCTGGGCACAGCCCTCCTGCCTGATGTGGCTGCATCAGCCACCACGGAGGATGGGACTCAGAGCTCAGACCTGGCTGTTGGCCTCAGGCAGGTCGCCGCCATCTCCAGGGTTAGCTTTTCCAACTAAAACCTGAGCTGGCCTTTATTTTTCAAGGTCCCTCCTGCTCGGAGCGTCCTTGTAGAGCCCAGCCTTTTCTGTATTTGAAACCCACACCTCCTCCAGGCCTGCTAGGACCCTGTTTGTCTCCGCCTGCTATTATACAACTGGCCTCTTCCCTCCAGAGAGGTTTTGCAGACAGCCCTGGTTTCCAGCAGATAATAAATGACCTGGGCTCTGCAGGCCGGACACTGTCACTTCTCAGCTCCTCCATTGTTGCAGAAGTGGCTGTGGATCAGATGTAAAAGAATGAGCCTGAAGACGGGCATGATGGCCCAGCATTTAAGAGGCTGAGGCAGAAAGATTGCTGTGAGTTGGAAGCCAGCCTAGACTACCTAGCAAGACCCTGTCTCAAAAAAAAGTGTGAATTGAGTGTGAATGTGTTCCCATAAAGCTGGTTTAGGGCAACTGAAATTTATTATTTCTTGGTGCACTTGGGATTGAATTCAGGACCTTGTCACTGAGTATATCCTTAGCCCCCTCCCACTTTCTTTCTTTTTGTACCGGGGATCAAACTCGGGACCTTGTGCTTACAAGGCAGGCGCCGGAACCACTGAGCTAAATCTTTCTTTTTTTTCTTTTTTTCTTTTTTTTTTTACTCCCACTTTCTTTTGAAGAGAGAGGGACTTTCTAAGTCACTAAGTTGCCCAGAGTGTGCTCTGGGTTTATGATCCTCCTGCCTCGGCCTCCCAGAGTGCTGGGATTGCAGCAAAGTGTCACCACACCCAGCATTCTTGCCCCTTTTCTGAAGCAGTGCTGGAAGTCCTCTTTTATGAATGTCTTTAGGAAGTGTGATCTAAAATACAGTATACAGTGAATAGAGCTGGGGATTTAGCTCAGTGGTTCTGGTGCCTGCCTTGCAAGTGAAAGGTCCAGAGTTTGATCCCTGGTACCAAAAAAAAGAAATACAGTGAACGCTGCTGCCGAGTGCCAGCCAACAGGAAAGCAGGCTTGTAAAGACATTACGATGTGTTCACATCCACCTTATTTGCCGGATCTGGCACCCTGCGAGACTTCTGGCTCTTCAAACTCAAAATGACCATGAAAGGTAAAGGTTTTAAATCAATTCAGGAAGTTGAGGCAACCAGGAGAGCATAATTTTTTTTAAATTTTGGTAGATTTTTTTATTACTGCCTCAATTTTTTAAAATTGCAAAACATTTATTGATGCACTTTAGGCATACATAATGATAACACTCATTGTAGGGAATTTGCAACTGTAAATGATACATCTCACCTCGTGTTCCCCATTCCCCCTCCCCTCAAGCCCCCTCCCCTCCCTACGTACAAAAGCCTTGTTTCCATTTTTTCTATTTTCACTTTTTTTCTTGCCCCTTCCTTTCTCCCTCCCTCCTCCCTTGTTCCCCTTTCCATTTGAACATTTTCTTCCCATTTCCCAACATCTATTATACATTTTAGTCCTTATTTCCACTTTTAGTTTCTCATACTAGATAAACAATGCAGTATTTAAACATGTGTGTCCGATTTATTTCACTTAAGAGCATGGTCTCAAGGTCCCTCCATTTAGCCATAAATGTCTGAAGCTCATCCTTCTTTATAGCAGAGTAATACTCCATTGTATAAAAAACCCACATCTTCTTTATCCATTTGTCAGTTGATGGGCATTTGGGCTGTTTCTAAGACTTAGCTATTATAAACTGTGTCACTTGCTATAAACATGGGTGCACATATATCACTGTGGTATGATGCTTTTAATTCTTTCAGGAAGATACTAAGAAGGGAAACAGCTGGGTCAAATGGAACCTCTACTTTTAGTTTTTTGAGAAATCTCCACTGATTTCCACAGTACACTAGTCTAGACTCCCACCAATAGTGGAGATGGGTTCCTTTTCCCCCCTAGCATTTCTTGGTCCATTTCATTCTTTCTTTCTTTGGTACCAGGTGTCGAACTTGGGACCATGCACTTTCGAGGCAGGCTATGGAACCACTGAGCTAAATCCCCCGGCCCACAAGTTCATTTCTTAATAGCAGCCATTCTTTCTGTATGACAGCATAATTAAAGACAAAAAAAAAAGAGGACTTCCGGAGCTGCTTCACAAAGTAGCAACCATGATGACATACATGTGTGAAGGAGAATTTTGAGGGGGATTAATAACACGTACCTTTTACTGTAATTTTGGTTTTTTTGTACCAGGGATCGAACTCAGGACCTTGCGCTTTCAAGGCAAGCATGGTGCCACTGAGCTAAATCCCCCTTACTGTAATATTTTTAAAAAGTTATTGAGAGGGCCGGGGATTTGGCTTAGTGGTTCTGCCCCTTGCCTAGCAAGCGCAAGGACCCAAGTTCGATCCCTGGTACCAAAAAAATAAATAAATTTTAAAAAATAACAAAAGAAGTTATTGAAGTAGGGTCTCACTGTGTAGTTCAGGCTGGCCTTGAACTCACAGTGATCCTCCTGTCCCAGCCTCCCAAGTGGTGGGATCAGAGGTGTGTGCCACCACATCAGACTTCTTTTTCTTCCTCCCTTCGGTATTGAGGATCAAGCCCAGGGGCACCCGACTACTGAGGTAACATTGAGGAGGTTTGTACACCATGCTGCACTGTGCCACACTGTAACTTCCAAGGGTGGGCAGCAAGCCACTGCTCTGCTGGAACACGCAGCTCTCGGCAATCCTAAACCCAGAGTTGGTAAAGAACTAAAGCAGCAGAGTTTAAAATAGACCAGTTTATTTGAAGATGGGGAAGGAGGAAGAGAGAGATGACAGACATCTCCGGATGCGTAGAGAACTGGAAAGTGACTTGCTTGTGGAGTCTTGGCCGCAGCTCCCTTTATTGAGATCCTTAGCCCACGGAGGCTCCTGGAATCTGATTGGCTCCCTGGCTTGTCTGTTATCCTAACCTTCGATTTCTTCCGGTCCTGAGACTTTACCCGCTCCTAGGTGGAGGTAAGAGTATGAGTGGGGGCCTTATGGCCCAAAGGATTAAGTAGACCGGAAGTTTGCTACCTAGGGACTACCTCGGGCTACCTAGCAACTTCCTGGTCCTGAGTTCTTAGTCTTCCTCAGAGCTTGAGGTAGTCGCCTTTGCCCTTCTAATTGGTGGAGTCTGGCTGTAGAGGTCAGAACTGCCTTGTTAATTTTTAATTAACAATGAGGCCCTCATTCTATGTTTTCCCTACAACAGTGGCCCCCCTCCCCCGCCCCTACACTGAGCTATATCCCTAGCCCTTTTTTGTGCTTTATTTTGACAGTCTTGCTAAATTGCATGGGTTGGCCTCATAGTTGCAGTCCTCCTGCCTCAGCTGAGAAGAATGTTGGGAATGTTCTTAGTTGATTTGGAATAAAATCTAAAAGCTTCCCTGCGGGTTGCTGTGCCTACCACCTAGTCCTTGCCCCCCCCCCTTATTTTTAATACAAAGTCTGGCTCTGCCAGGCAGGCCTTGAACTCAGCGATTCTCTTGCCTCAGCCTCCCAAGTGCTGGGATTACTGGAGTGCACCACCTCGCCCAGCTTCCTCTTTGGTTTTATTTGCTTTTTTTTTTTTTTTTGTACCGGGGATCGAACTCGGGACCTTACACTTGTGAGGCGGGCGGTGGAACCACTGAGCCAAATTCCCAGCCTTCCCTTTGGTTTTTTGAGGCAGTCTCGCTTGAACTACACAGCCCAGGCCTGGCCTGGCGCCATCACCCCTCGAGCTTTCTTTTTTTTTTTTTTTCTTGAATGGGCCCGGGACGGTCCTTTTTTATTGAGGAACGAAAGGGCCCCCGCTGGGCCCCGCCTCCTCCTCGCTCCGGGGAGGCCTGCAGCCTGCGTCTTCTAGGTCCCTTGGGGACCTCGGGACCGCTCCCGGTGGACGGGATCTGCACCACGCACCACTGGCAGCGGCCACAAAGGCGACGGACGGAGGGGATCCGCGGAGGAGGACGCCGTGCGGGCAAGAGCGCGGGGCCGCCGTCCTCGGGCCTGTCCAGGTGGCTGCAGAGGGGACCTCCAGTCTGCCCCTCTGCTGGTCCCCTCGGGGGTATGACGACTGCAGATCTCAGCCTCTCCCTGCCCCAGCGTGGGGACCCTCGAGGGAAACCCGGCCAGCCGGAGGCTCTGGGGCTTGGCGAGCCCTCCAGAGGGACGCGACCCGGGTGCGCCGCTGGTCCGGTTTGCTTTTCTTTTTACCAACAAGGGGCTGACAACTTCGTTTCCAGTCACCGCGGATGGGAGGAGCAAGACATCTCCCAACCACATTCCTTTTCCTAGGTGTCTGGGGGAGGGAAGGCAGAGACCGAAAGCTCCACCCCCACCCTCAGGCCCCCTTCCTGCTGCACAACTCTGATTCACCGTGGCACTTCGTTTGCCAAGCAATGTGTTCACACCCTTAACAAAACCTGCTTGCCAGCCCTGCTTTACGGCAGCTGGGCCTCAACCCTCCTAGTTCCACAGGTAGCCCAGGGGCGTGGCATTTTGAGAGTTTTGCAGTGCACAACTGGGTAACCCTCCCTGTGCCCCTGTCGGGGTGGACAGATGGCCCCAGAGCTCCGTAGGTGTATGGGGAAGGTGGGAGGCTAGGCCGCCCTCCCACTGCTCAGCCTAGGTAGCTCGCCTTTATCTCTTTCACAGGTTGGACTTCCCAGTAAGAAGTCACTTGAAACCATGTGTCCCACTACTAACAATGTCAAACACTGTGGAAACCTTTGCTCGGAGAGAGGCCGGTTACACCCCAGGGGTTTCCCGATGTGAGTCCCGCTCAGCCTCGCACTTCCTGTGTGGTCTTGGGTGGAGTAATGCAGCTCACCTCAGAGTGCACTGAGTTCGGGGACGGTGTGGTCACACAGCTAAGGCCTGCTGCGTGGCCAGGTGCTGATCAGGACCTTGAGGGAGGGGACAGTCCCTTCTAGTCCTGACGGCAGTACTGGGGATTGAACCCAGGTCTTTCGCACTGAGCTCCAGCCAGCCTTATTTTTAAATTTTATTTTTTTTACTGGGGATCGAACTCGGGTTGTTGCGCTTGCGCAGCAGGCGGCAGAACCACTGAGCTAAATCCCAGGCCCCTTATTTTTAAATTTTGAGACAGGGTCTCACTAAACCCCCGGGCTGAGCTGGAACTTGCAGTCCTCCTGCCTCAGCCTCCCAAAGTGCTGGCCGGCTTCGGCCTCAGCATTGTCGCCCCGGGTCAACGTCGCCGGGCCTTCCTGGTGCCTTGCAGGATGTCCGGTCACATCCCTGGCCTGTCCACACCGTGCCAGTCCCACCCCCTCTGACCAAAAATGTGTCTAGAAATTGCCAAATGTCTCAAGGCCACCAAATCGACTCCTGTAAAGAGGCACCAGGACCCCCAGGGTGGTGCAGGGAGCGGGAGGGGCGGGAAGGAATGTGGCAGGCGACAGAGAAGCTGCTCCTCCCCGAACTCCAAGGCGGCGCCGGCTCGGCCCTGGAGCCCGCGAGCGCATGCGCATGTGTGCATGCGTGCTTGTGTGTGGGTGTGGGTGCGTGTGTAGAGAGGAGGAGCTGCAGAGGGTGAGGGGCGTGGGGTCCGGCAGCAGTCTCAGGCCCTTTCTCGTTCCCCACGGTGACCCCGACGCCCCGCGGGTCCTCTCCCCGGCCGGCCGTAGGCTCCGTCGCGGGTCCCCTGCTTCCGCCTCACACCCCCCAGCAGCGTTCATTCTCTGCGAAGCGGCTGGCGGGGCGCATTAACGATACGACGCAGGCCCTGCCTTCCCGCGCCCGAAGCTGTCTCCTGGCCGCCGCGGTCCTCGGCGTCCAGCCTGCACCCGGGCACAGGCCTTGGGGTGCCCGGGCCCCTCCTGGACCCCAGCTCTGCTCATTCTTCCACCTCCCAGGTCTCCTTCTCTGCCGCAGTGCGTTCGGCCGCCCCTACCCGCGCTTCTGCCCCGGCTGCACCTCTGCCCGGGCCCCCCTGAGCTCAGCGCCGCATCATCGTCTACACAAGGCCGCCTCTGTCAGGCAGCAGCCCGCCTGCTCACCCAACCTCAAATTGCCTCCTCCCCTCTGTGCCTCAGGCCTCTGCATAGTTTTTGTTTTGACGAAAGGTCTCACTAAGGTCAGGCTGGCCTCGAGCTCGAGATCCTCCTGCCTCACCCTCCCAGGTGCTGGGATTACAGGCCTGTACCACCACGGCCGGCTGTTATTTTTATTCTTGCTTGTTTGTTTTGGGGTTTTCTGGTACCGGGGATCAGGGGATCAAACTCCGGACGTTGCACTTGCGAGGCAGGCGGTAGAACCACTGAGCTAAATCCTCGGCTCTGTTATTTTTGAATACAGAAATACATAAAGGATTCGGAGCCGCTCTGTGCGCTTCAGTTCCGCATCTCACGCGAGCGGCTTCACCTCTGGCTCCCGGGCACTCACAGGCGGGGGCCAGCAGGACCCGGACTAGGACGGTGACAGAGGACAGCAGGTGAGTCCCGAGCAGCTGCAGAGGCCACCAGAGGAGAGTGAAAAGTGCCACCTAAGGACCCTGCACACCTTTCCCTGTGATGCTAATGAGCCCCTGCTCGGGCTTCCGGACCCCTGCCTCGCCCTCAGTTCCTCTGCCACGGGCCTTGAGACTCATGGTCGCTCCCCGGAGGAAGGGCGCTCTCTGGGATTCGGCCGCTCGCCAGGCCCCTCCCGGCCCGGGTGCAGAGCCGGCCAGCAGAGGGCGCTCCAGGCGCGCATCCCGGCTCCGCGTCCGCAGCCTGGTGGGCTGGGCGTCTCCGGACGGAATCCTCCCTGGGGTGCCTCAGTTTCCACAACGCAGCCAGCCGCTCTCCGCCCCCGCAGCCACACAGCATGGGGCTCCCCGCCATGCAGAGGGTACCAGCACAGGGTAAACGGAGGTTCTGGCTCGAGTGAAACGGCATACTTTGGCTTCTTTTTTTTTTTTTTTTTTTTTTTTGGTACGGGGGATCGAACTCATGGGGGCCGAGCCAGTGGGGGTCACTGTCAGAAGACAATGGGCTGGAAGTTTCTCAGGGAATTAAAGGAATGTGGGGAATCCTCCCCACTGTGGCAAGATGGTTTTGGTGGGGTTGTGACAGGGCTGTGTCTTCTGCCAGGCTTGGGACTGCGGGCCTCTGCAGCTGCCCAAGGACAAGTTCCCAGTTGTGGCTTGTCTCAGGGGACATTGCCAGGAAACCCAGACAGGGAGGATCAGCCCCACAACTTCTCCCCTTTTTCCTACCACGTGAGCCCCCAGCCAGGTCAACAGTCACATGTGCACGCGTGTGCGTGTTTCTACACAGTCATGCACACATACATACACAGAGGCCTGTGTTTTAAAAGGACACATGTACCTCACAGACATCCTCATATACACACACCATATTTGGTGCACACAAACAAAATGCACACATACGTGTGTGCACACCTACCCATCCTTTTGTTCAGTTCTCCCACATGGTGGACGGCTTCCAAGATGGCTGCCATCCAGTCTTTTTATCCTGTTTCACCCAGCAGAAAAGAAATTCAGTTTCCCTGCTCAAGTATCTGTGGTAGAAGCAATGTTCTTTCTTAGCTTTCTGATCCACGGCTTGAAGACTAGATGCTTTTTTCCCTCCCTCTTGGAAGCCAGCTGCCATGTAAGAAGGCCAACCATGCTGAGCCCAACATGCTGGGAGGAAGCCCAAGCTAGTCAGTGGACAGGAGGCTGCCGATGAGCGCAGAAGTAGAGCCCTGCCACCTCTGCCCATCTGCTTGCTGAACACAGTGAATGACCCAGTCGATGCTATGGGGCAAGGGTGACCATGGACTACTGCCTACCTAAATTCCTGACCCCCAGAATCATAGGAAATGACAAAAAAATTTAAGCCACTGTGTTTTAGAATGATTTGTTATGCAAAAATAATTGAAGTCCCCACATATATTATGTACTTGCTTATGTTCATATATGTACAAATTCATGTACATTTATAAAGAGGCACGCCTAGCCAGGCATGGTGATGTATGCCTGTAATCCCAGCACTCTGGGAGGCTGAGGCAGGAGGATTGAGACTTTGAGTTTAAATTGCAAATTTGAGGCCAGCCTGGGCTACATAGTGAGTTCAAGGCCAGCTTAAACTACAGAGCGAGATCCTGTCTCAAAAACCAAAAAATAGGAAACAAAACAAAACAAAAAATAGGGCCGGGGATTTAGCTCAGTGGTGCTGCCTCCTGCCTTGAACGCGAGAGGTCCCTGAGTTCGATCCCCGGTAGAAAAAAAAAAAACCCCAAACAAACAAATAAAAGGGGGGCTGGAGATGTAGCTCAGTGAGAAGGCTCTGGGATCAATTCCCACTAGCATGAGAGAGAGAGGCAGAGAGATAGAGACACATGCCTGCGGTCCTGAGCACATTCCTCCGCCATTCCAACCTGCCTGCCTTCCTTCCGGACAGAACGCTTGTCAGGTGACCTCCATTCCTCCAAGCTCCAGTGCTTTTGAAAAGCTAATTCTAAGGGCCAGGGTTTAGCTCAGTGGTTTCACCACTTGCTGTGCAAGCACAAGGACCCAAGTTTGATCCCCGAGTACCAAAAAAAGAAAAACTAATTCTAGCTGGGCTAGTGAGGCAGGGCTGTAATCCCAGCCCTGGGAAGGCTGAGGCAGGAGGATCGGCACAAGTTTAAGGACAGCCTGGGCTACATAGTGAGATACAGTCTCAAAGAACCAAAAGAAAGGGCTAATTCTATTTCCAGCCCTAGAAGAGGGGTCCTTTGAAGTCTAAGCTGTCTTGGTGATCTCAGTCCCCTTGAGAGAGAGCACTTTAGCTTTGGCTGTGTGAGCCACCCATGAGTCACAAGGGAAGTTGGCGTGGGGCTTCTGGGAAAGTTGCCCCACAAGCAGAGAGTCATTCTTCTTCACTAGGTTCTGTCCTGCGTGAATGAGGAGAATGGAACGCTGCCCTATTGTGTGATGAAGAGGGTGTATTATTAGCCAGAGTGGGACGGCAGAAAGGAAGGCAGAGCTCTTAACAACGTTACTGACCCATACAGTCAGGCAGCTGTAGAAGCCCCCTTCTACCTCTGGAACTCAGTCACATGACAGAATAACTTTATTTATTTATTATCTGAGGGTTTTCTTTCTTTTCCCCTTTTTCCTATTTATTTATTTATTTATTTATTTTTGGTAAAAAGGATTGAACTCAGGGCCTTCACACTGAGCTACATCCCCAGCCTTTCATTTTATTACTTTTTAAATTTTGAGACAGGGTTTTGTTAAATCAGTACATTCCTTGGGCTTTTGATCCTCCTGCCTCAGCCTCCCAGTGTGCTGGGATTATAGGTGTTTTCTCTTTTACTTTTTTTCTTTTCTCTTTTACTTGTAGCCTAAGGCATCCAACTGATACCTCCCTTCTCCATAAACAATCCCTCTCACATCAATACCCACAAACCTGTATACAAATAGATCCAGAGCTGCACATGGAAAGTCATGACTGTGCACAATAAATGAGCATGCACTACATCCCACCTACACATGCAGCACACCCCTAATACTCACAGAGAAGAGCACACATCCTTCTGCATACCCAGATAGGCGGGGGTGTGCACGTCACTTACACATGTGCTCACAATTCCCATGAATAGTACTATGGACACGGACAGTGTGCATTTGGCACGTGGAGGCCTCCTTCCCAGGGCACCAATAGCTACAGGAATGGATCCTTTCTGACCCACATGGGTGCAGCCGCACTGCACACCCAGGGCTGCGTCTCCCTGTTCCTGTCAGGGAAGCTTGGTTCTCAGAGGAAGTGCTAGGAAGTGCGGAATGTTTGCGAGGGTCTTCGTGCCAGGTAAATAGATCTTGGAGGGGACTAATGCAGTTCTCACAGTGCCCCACTTAGCTTTTTTTTTGTTTTTTGGTGCTGGGGATCGAACTTGGATCCTTGCGCTTGTGAAGCAGGCGGCAAAACCACTGAGCTAAATCCCCGCTGCCTCCCCCCCCACACTTACCTTTTTGGAGAATGGGTTGTTTTAAGAGAGTGGCTGACCTATGATGCTCTGTGGATTCCTGTCTTCCAGGTGGTCTCTCCACGTCTCAGGCACCCTTGCCATTACGCCATTTGTCATAAGGGGGCAGAGTGCAGAGGGGGCTTGCAAAGCTGCTGCCAAGCTGTTTGGACTTCCAGTCTCTAAAATCATGAGGTAAATAAACTTCTTTTCTTTTTAAGTTGCTTGGCCTCAAGTATTTTGTTATAGCACTGGAAAACAGACTAATATTCAAGGCAGGTCAAACGTGTGTGGAGGATCACAGAAAAGGCTGCAGCCTCAAGGAATGTGGGACCTGGGTGGAAGTATGAGTCACACAGGCATAAGGAGCATCGAAGGTGACAAAGGAGGAGAGCTGGGAAGGGGCTGGCCTGGGTGCTGTTCATCCCGTGACCTTGGGAACTCAGTTGCTTCACCTCCATGAACCTCAATTTCCTTATCTGTGGGGCAGGCTAAAGGACAATAACTGGGTGCTCTGATGATCAGATGAGATAACCTACCTCTGACTGCTTTGTGAACTGTGGGTGTGGTGCAGTCACCTTTTCACCAGGAACAGGAACAGGAATGTGAAGGAAGGAGGAATCCATCCCTATGCCAGGCATTCAGACCCAGCAGCTGCTGAGTAGGGGAGACCACCCGGCAACAGGCCGCCTTTGGGGGGCCTGATGTCAGCACTGAGGTCGAAGACCAGTGCCCCATCACCTGTGTGGAGCAGTGCACCCCAAGGAGAAAAAATATCGGGGCAGTCACTCCTTGGCCTTCTCAGAACTCCGATCCCTCCCATCATTTCACTGCCGGCTCCACATAATTATTTTCTCCTATTTGTGAGTTTAGGGCAATACTGGTTCCCGATAACTAGAGGCTTAACAGGACTGAATTATAATGTGTGTCCTGCAGAATCACACGGTGCATTAATACCAAATGAGTTCATTAGGAATTCATTAGGGTGAGTCCTGAGGCTGCCACGGGGATTAATCAGGGAAAGCCCACAGCAGGAGTGGGGAGGTGCGGGACTGCACAGGGCGGGGGAAGACCTTCAGCATCTGACTTTGGCCTGAAGCTGTATGTGTGAGTGTATGTATGTATGTATTTATTTTTGCAGTACTGGAAATCGAACTCAGGACCTTGTGCTTGTGAGGCAGGTATGGTGCCACCCAGCTACATTCCCAGCCCAGAAGCAGTATTTTTTTGAGGTCACGGGCTACTTTGGATGTGAATTTGGACGTGAGGTGACTCGCCTGTCACTAGGACCGCCCTCTGCTCTTCTTCCTGTTCCTGCCTGGCTCTTGCCACAGTAGACTCCGACTGCAGATGTGGGGTGGGTAGAGCTGTGAAGCCAGGGCCCTATTGCTATTCTCACCCGCCCTACTTCTGATGGAAACTTCTGGGTCCCCGACAGGCACCCCCACATGGGCTTCTGCTTGATCCCTCAAGACTCCACCCCCTCAAGCACCTTGAGCACCTCCAGGAGCAGATGCATGTCCCTAGCTTGGCCAATTGGACTTTATGCCCTCTTTTCTTTTCTTTCTTCTTTTCTTTCTTCTTTTCTTCTTCTCTTCTCCTCTCCTCTCCTCTTCTCTCCTCTCCTCTCCTCTCTCTTCTCTCTCTCCTCTCCTCTTTTCTTTTTTTTCTTTTCTGGCACTGGGGACTGAGCCCAGGGCCTGGACTGAGCTTACATCCCTAGCCCATTTTATTTTTTATTTTGAAGCAGGGTCTCTCTAGGTCACCTAGAGTGGGCTCAAATTTGCAATCCTACTGCTTCAGCCTCCTAAAGTGCTGGATTAGAGGCCTGTGCTACTGTCCCTGGCTTCTCCTGCTAGTTTTCTAAGTAGGCAATTTTGTTTTTGATTTTGTTTTTATTTTTTTGAGAAAGGGTCTTGCTATGTAGTTCAGGTTGGCCCTGAACTCACTATGGAGCCCAGGTTGGCCTCAAAATCATGACCAACCTTCTGCCTCAGCCTCCAAAGTGCTGAGATTACAGGAGTGCATCACCACTCCTGGCTAGCCCCGTACCTGGAATTTGATCTTTCCCTGGACTAGTGACACACAGTCAACACTCAATGTGCCCTCCGGGTTTATGGGCCATGGACATCCAGTGGAAGGGCTTCGGCTTAGCCACTCACCTTGAATGGCACAATTCAGACAGCATATGGACCTGAATAACACTTTTGCTTACTGTAGTGTTTGTTCCTTACGAATGCCCATTTGTCTTCCTCACCTAGCTGCCCAACAGCTGGGGACTGACTGAGGAAATTGTGCTAAATCCGTACAGTGGGTTACAATAGGGCATTAAGAGGCGGGCCAGGGATTTAGCCCAGTGGCACTGCACCTGCCTCACAAGTGCAAGGTCCTGAGTTCGATCGAGGGTCCAAAAAAAAAAGAGTTGACGGCTGGGGCTGGGGACAGAGGTGGTGGGAGTGACGAGGGAGAGTTGTTAAGAAGGTGGTTTATGTCAAACCAGCTACTCTAGGGAACGGGAGCTGGCTGAACCCCACGATGAGAGGATGGACTGCTGGGCAAGTTGGAAGCCCTGCTGAAGGGTGGGCGCTGCTGTCCCTTCTCACTGTGCGGCTCTTCCTATGGACAGAGAGGGTGCACCCACGGGCGGGGAGGGAGGAAGCCAGGCTGAGAGGTGGGGAGGAATGGGGGCGGGCGGGGTGGAGGAGTGACGGGCGGAAGCGTCAGGCAGTGGGGTGGCACTGGCTTTTCTTCTCTGTATGCTTTCATTCCCCAACCCAGCACCTGAGCTCAGGACATATGAACCGAGTGAATGAAATGATGGACTCATGACTTACGGACCTCATTGTGACGTAAAGACCAGCTTTCTGCTTTCCATCAGAGGACCAGCAAGGCCCACGGTGGCTGGAAGTGCCACTTCCGTCAGAAAAATGGAGTCCTGGGGCGCGGGATTTAGCTCAATGATCCCACTGCCTGCCTTGCAAGTGCAAGGTCCTGAGTTCGATCCCAAGTCCACTTCCAAACCTAGTGACTGTTTGACCTTGGATAAGTCACTTTTCTTTCCTTCTTTCTCTCTTTCTTTCCTTCTTTCTCTCCCCCCCCCTCCCTCCCTTCCTTCCTTTCTGCCCTTCTTCCCTTCTCTCTTTGTGTGTGGAGTGGTAGGGATGGAACCCAGTGCCTCACACATGCTAGGCAACCACTCTACCGCTGAGGTCTGTCCCCAGCTCTCTCAGAAGGTTTTGTGTGGAAAATGAGATGCCAGGTGTCAAGTTTGTAGTATAGCATCTGGCACTGTGGTTTTGCTAAGTACCAAAGGAACAGCCAGTCTCCAAGTCAGTCTGTAGGCCACAGGCAGATCAGCTCGTGGTGTTTAGTTAGAGGACTTGAGCACAAACCTGGAGCCACATTGCTTCTCCAACTACCTGGGTCTTATATTTCTGAGCATCTGCTTCTTCATCTGCTTAGTGGGGGAAATATCAGAAACAAGGCAGTCGAATGGGTGGGAGAATAGGATGGTAACTGACATGAACCCAGGGCTTGGGCACTGCAACTGCATACAGATCTTATTTTTTTGTTGTGTGGTGCTGGAGATCGAACCCAGACCTTAGTGTGCTAGGCAAGTGCTCTGCCACTGAGCTACACCCCCAGCTCTGTGACAGATCTTGGTGCCTAGCATCCCCCCACCAGCTGGGATGGAGAATCCAAGGGAAGAGCAGGTTTCTGAGGGTTGGACAGGAGCTTTGGACGTGTTAGATTTTTAGACCTGTTAGGTCAGCAGTTGAATACAGTGGTGCTTTGGTTCATGAATTTAATTCTTTGCATGATTTTGGTTGCAAATCAAGTTGGAGGAGAACAAATCAAATTTTTCCATAATGTCAACATTGAACCTAACCATTGAATTTGGCTCGGTTCTCACCCAATTCAGTTTGAGACCAGAATGGTGGAAAGAATTAAGTTCGTGAACCGAGGCACCACTATCTACTATGTCCAGAGAGAGATCTGCATGGAGAGATAGAGGGAAAAAACTGGAGTCATCAGCACTAGATGGTACTTAGAGCTATGGGTTGCTTGAGGACAAAAAGAGAAGAATGCTCGGAGAACAAAACGGAAGTCTAAGCCTGGGGCATCTGATACTCAGAGCTGAAGCAGATGCTCACCCCGGGAAGCTGGGACCGGCCCTGCCAGCCTGCCCAGTGTTCACTTGACACACTCCACAGCCTCTGTAGAAAGGGTTTTACAAAATGAGTTCATTTAATCCAAGACCCATCTTTTCAGGTTGGTGCAGCTGAAATTTTGCAGATGAGGAAACTGAGATACAGAAAGATAAATATCTAGCCCAAAGTCACACAGTCTGTGAGTGGCAGAACTGGGATCCAAACCCAGGCAGCCTGGCTCCAGTCTCCATCCATTTCTCACTGTGGACAAAGTGGCAACTGGAATTCCAAGGGAAGGCTGGATTTCTCAGCCTTTGACTTTTCTGTTTTGTTTTTTGTGGTGCTAGGAATCAAGCCTAGGGCTTTATGCCTGCTAGGCAAGCGCTCTGCCACTGACCTATGTCCCTAGGCTGTGTATAAGTGAGAATAGAACCAGGAGAACATTATGGAATAAATTGCCCTCAGAATTATGGCATTTTGGCGGTCGGGGATTTAGCTCAATGGCACCACGCCTGCCCGGTGCTGCAAAAAAAAAAAAAAAGAATTATGGCATTTTAGAATCAATCCCAATGAACATTTTAGATTTTGGCTGAGGAAAGAGGAGAAAGCAGGAATGGATGACTGACAGAATCAGCAGCCTGATGGTTCCCTCACTACAAGCACAGCACTAGTGGCCCTGGGAGAGGCAGCTGGAGGATGCTCAGGGCCCTCCTCTGACGCATGTCTCCACCCCTTCTCTAGGTATTAGTTTCAGGAGAACAGTGCTTTTTGGGGCAGGATCCAGAGTCCAGATGGGAAGTGGGGCGCTGGAGTTGATTAGCCTTGGGATCCTTCTTATCTCCAGGGGTAGATTTGCTCTATTGTTTCATTGGCCCATAAAACCTCACTGATAGGGAGGCAGCTTGAGTTCACTCACCTCTCTGGGACGTTGTGAGTTGGGGCCTGAGCCCTGAAGGAGAAAGTCACGAGGTGTAAGCGGACGGAGGGTGGCAGGTCAGATGGTCAGATGCACATGGGGAGGGCAGTGAGGCTCAGTCAGGTGTCCTGGGCCAATGGTCCCACCACTCCCATCCTATCCTTGACACTGGCTTTGGGTGAGGAGGGCAGGAAGAAGGTGCAGGAAAGAGGGCTAATGAGGTTGGAGCTTCCTGCCAGCTTCCTGTGCGCAGTCCCCAGCACCATTTGCTTCTTGGGGACAAGAACAGTATCCATTCCATAGGGCTGGGGATTTAGCTCAGTGGTTCCACCACCTGCCTCGAAAGTGCAAGGACCCGAGTTCAATCCCCGGTACCAAAAAAAAAAAAAAAAAGCTGGAGTCTGTAAAGGTGGTCTGAAGGGTAAATGAGATAAGACATGTAAAACATGCAGTAGAATCTAAACGCATAGTAAACACCCAGAAATGTCAGCTATGATTGATTGTCATGGTTATTTCATCGTTATCATCAGTGAGGGGAGACTCTAACACTATGTACTACACTGTGGTCTTTATGGAAGGCAAGAGAGTAACAGAAAAATTTTAAATAGAAAAATCCTCTGAGCCCACCCCCCACCCCAGGCAGTTGCTGGTACATGTCTGTAATCTCAGAACCCTGGGAGGCTGGGGCAGGAGGACGGCAAGTTGAAGCCCAGCCTGGGCAATTTATTGAGATTCTCTCTCAAAATAAAAAGGGCTGGGGCTGGGGATTTAGCTCAGTGGCACCATGCCTACCTCACCAGCACAAGGTCCTGAGTTGGATCCCTGATACCAAAAAAAGGGGGGTGGGTGGGCCTGGGGAAGTATCTCAGTGCAGAGGCCCTGAATGGAATCCCCAGCAGTGAAAAAGAAAATCTTCCCAAGAATTTCATGTCTAGGAGTTCATCTTTAGCAAATAACCTTAGTAAGAAATCTGACATGTACATTCAGAGATATGAACAAGAAGAGTCACGTCAGAGTATTTACAAGAGGAAAACCAAAAGATTGGAAACAAGCTAAAGGTCCAGAAATAGCTGAGTAAATTAGAAAACACGTTGGGCTGCGGATTTAGCTCAGTGGTTCCAGTGCCTGCCTTGCAAGCACAAGGTCCCAAGTTCCATCCCCGGTACCAAAAAAGAAAAAAAAAATTATAAAACACGTACAACAAAATACTCTAGAGCTATTTACTTACTTTTTGCAGTGCTGGGGATTGAATCCAGGCCTTGGACATAATGAGGAAATTGCTGTACTACTAAGCTACACACCCAGCCCTCTAGAGTTATTTATTTATTTATTTAGAGTGATTTATTTATCTTTTTGTGGCTTTTGAGACAGGTATCTCACTATGCGGTTCAAGCAGGCTTGAACTCACTGTGTAGCCCAAGCTGGGCCTGAACTTGATGCCATCCTCCTGCCTCAGCCTCCTGACTGCTGAGATTACAGGCATGCACCATCGCTCCAAGCACCCAGCTCATTTTTTTCTTTTTTGTTCTTTTTAAACTGTTTTAGTTGTCCTGGGAAGTCCAATGTATGGCCTCATGAATGCTAAGCATGTGCTTTACCAGTAGGATATGTCCCCAGCCCCTGTAACTCCATTTCTATTAGAAAGTAGATGTACACAAAGCCTAGAAAGGAAGACACCGAATCATTGAGGCCACCTCTGTCAGGAGTCATTTGTGCTGACTTATTTGAATTTTTAATATATTGTATATTTTATCACCAGAAAGGTGTGTGTGTGTGTGTGTGTGTGTGTGTTTATTTGAGACTAAGGAATTCTAAGACTGGTGACTGAAGACTGATTCAGTGTGGCAAAATTGCTTTTTCATCAGGGCAGAAACCACTTAGTCCCTGGTCTGGGGGTTAGCAGAGTTTGCTTTGGGTAGAAATGGTGGAGGTTCATGGAGAAGAGGCGCTGGAAGATGGGGGACTCGACGAGATTGTGAGACTAACAGTAACCGCGCTGGTCAGGGCGACAGCCAGCACTTCGCGTGCGCGGGAGGGCAGCGCAGAGGGCAGCGCGGCTACTGCCGGACCGGGTGGTTCTGGGAGACAGCACAGGAACCAGGAGTCCCGAGCCCCTTATGGCTGGAAGCCTGACCAGGGCACCCACCCAGCGCCTGGCACATGGCAGCCCTTATGGTGCCTCCTCCGGGTGCCCGCCGTGGTTCCCGGCTGCTGCTTGGGTCTGGTTGCGTTATCTCCAGGCTTGGGGTATCCAGTGTCCTTCGTGGGCTCCTGGCTGCGGCTGAGCTGTGTTTCCGCTCCTCGCGGCCCTCCTGCCCCTGTCACTGCTCGCTCGTCCTAGGATCCATCTCTCTCTGCTCATCCAAGTCCCACTGATGTTTCGGGCCCCTATGAAATGTCACCTCCTCCCCGATGTGCCCGAGCCTCTTGTGGGGCCCCACGGCTCCTTCCCCGAGCCCAGGCCACGCATCTGTTTCTCTCCTGCCGTGCGTGCCTCGCCCCTGGACAGGTCCAGGGCTCTTCTGGGAAAAGCATGCGTCATGTTCATCCGAGTCTGCGCAGAGCGGCCCACACGTGTGGGTGCTGGATGCACTGTGAGCAACCAGGGAGTGAATGGAGTGAGAGATGAGGGGATCCGGACAGGGCAGGCTGCGCACGGGCAGAGGGGTGAATGACTCCCAGCCCTGCGGCTGCCCGACCCTGACCTTGCAGGCGATGGGATTACGGGGTGATGTTCCCAGGTGAAGGGCCTCAGGGCTCTGCCCACATCATAAAACAGCAAGCGCTTCCTCTTCAGGGCAGGAGGGAGAATGGGGTGATTAGGGGGCCGAGTCTCAGCCGCAGGTTTATAAGCTGCCACTCCAGACCCTCAGCATCAGGCCTCTTCCTTGTCTTGCTTGCTGCTCTCTGGCTCCGGCGCTCCCTGCAGTATGGCTTTCAACGGCAAGTTCCAGGCGGAGAGTGAGAAGAATTACGACGAGTTCATGAAGCGCCTCGGTGAGTAAGCGCCTAAGCCTCGGGCCTGGAAGCCGGGCCTTTGGGGTACAGTGGAACAGGACTTCATTCATTCATTCATAGCTGTTGAGCAGCTATCCTATCTTGTTTGAAGGTGATAAGAATCATAAAACTCTGTTAAAATACTTAACAGAGGGGCGGGGGATTTAGCTCAGTGGTGCTGCAGCCTGCCTCACAAGCAGAAGAGTTCCATCCACAGTACCAAAACCAAACAAACAAACAAAACCAAAACCAAAAAACAATTTAACAGAGCTGGGTGTGGTGGCACATGCCTGTAATCCTAGCACGTAGGAGGCTGAGACAGGAGGATCGCTGGGAGTTTGAGGCCAGCCTGGGCTACATAGTGAGATCCTGTCTCAAAAAACAAAACCCAGAATATTAGCATCTCCACTTTACTAATGAAAAACTCAAGGCCAAGGGGAGTTGAGTAATTAGTCCAAGTCACACAACTAGTAATTGGGGATGTGGAGACTCGGTGAGGTAGACTTGATGATTATTCATTCAAATATTTATCGAACACCTGCTATGTGCAAGAGCTATCTCAGTGCTACTGATGGGGCAGCTCAGGTCACTCCTGCAAGTCAGTGCGAGAGGTCACTAGCATCTGAGGCGCAGTGATGAGGCTGTCACTACATTCTGCCTGTGGAGAGATGACCAAGGGGTGAGCATAGAGGGCTGGGCTGATAAGCTGATCCTTCACTCAGTCATTCAACAAACACAGACTTTTTACTGTGCTACTGTGTGCAGAGACCAGTGACTTCACACTTTCTCTCCCTGCCTGCCTTATGACACTGGTCTGCTGTTGAGGGGAGCCACGGAAACAGTAGGTCTGACAATCCTGTGGAAACCCCAGTTCAGTACCTAACGTCTCAGGCAGTGATTGTCCAGGCTCAGAGGACAGCTACGGGTGACTTGTGCCCAGCTTCTCCAGGGTCTGACAGCAGAGCCCTCTCATCCCTGGGGGCTGGGGAGGCTGGAGCCCCTCTGAGTCAGTGACTGGCCTGACGTCTTCTGTGCTGTTGTGGAGCCGGGAGTGAGCCCACCTCCATTCTCAACCCGACCCTGACGTACCGGAAAGCCCTGTCCCCGCTCTGGGTCTTCCTTTGCTTATCTGTAAGCTAGAAGCATTAGAAAACATAAATTTCTGGATTTTTTCCTGGTATGGGCAATTGAACCCATGGCCTTCATACTGAACTACATCCGCAGCCCCTTGCATTTTATTTTGAGACAAGGTCTCACTAAGTCACTTCACACTTGTGATCTTCCTGCCCCAGCCTCCCAGAGTGCTGGGATTACAGGTGTCTACCACCTTGCCAGGTTTAGGAGACGTAATCTTGAAGATCCCATTCATTGTCACAAGTCTGTGTGCCGGTTATATATATTACTACCAGAAGACTATTATTGACAAGCATCACTTTGTGTGCCAGGTGCTTTACCAGACACAACCAGGGTGAATCCAGTCCTTGCAGTGGGCCCATGAAGGGGCCCTATTACCCCACCTTGTGGATGAGAACACGGAGGCACAGGCAGACGTGCGCCGCTGGGATCTGAAGGCCTGTGCAGTGTGTCCTGGGCACTGCACTCGAACCTGGGGGCCAGCCTCTCCTGGGGAGGACGGCTCTTTCTTTCTCCAGACCACAGGGTTACAAGCAGCTCTTATATGGTCCCTCTGCTTTTCACGGAGCAAAGGTCTCCCCAGCGACGTGCTCGAGAAGGGTCGAAACGCCAAGATCATCACGGAGGTGCAGCAGGATGGGCAGGACTTCACCTGGTCGCAGTCCTACTCCAAGGGCCACCTCTTCACCAACAAGTTCACCATTGGCAAGGAGAGCGACCTAGTTTCCCTGGGGGGCAAGAACTTCAAGGTGAGAGGCCCCTGGCCACTGTCCTGTCCTTCCCCACGCTGCTGTCCCTTCCACACCTCCGACAGCCGCCGCTGCCTATGCTGAGGATCCTTTCTGCATCCACTGGCACCGCTGAGAGCTGGAGGGACTTGGCTGCTGTCAGTAACAGACATGAGAGTGACCACAAAATCGCTGATATTTGCTGAGCACTTGACGTAGCATAACACAGACACTCGGTGAATTGTTTACACATCTTTTTTTTTTTGCTGCTGGGGATCGAACTTGGGTCCTTGTGCTTGCGCAGCAGGCAGCGAAACCACTGAGCTAAATCCCCAGCGCTATTTACACATCTTTCAAGTCACCATCATTACTCTCCCCACTTTACAGAGGGGTGGGGAGCCGAGCCACGGGCTTAAATAGCTGGCCCCCTCGTGTCCCTAGGCAGCCTGGCTGCAGACAGCAGCGCCAATGTGCCAAGCTGCCACACCATGTAGCAGACATAGGTAGCCCAGGACCTATGGGCAGCTGGACAGGAAGTCACGCTCTCCCATCAGCAACCAGGGACCTTGGGCCAGTCATTTAACTGAGCCTCAGCTCTCGAGTGTGCAAGTAGGACCAGGTAGTCCCTCACTCGAAGAACCGTGGCGGAGACAGCCAACCAAGGCATAGAAGTGCTGGCATTGTGGCTGCCCATGGTGAGGATGGGGGAGGAAGAAGCGATTCCTCTGTTTGTCTTAGAGGTGAAGAAAGTGGGGCTCAGGGAGGCCAGGTCTCGTACCTAAGGTCCTGCCGCCACGGCAATACAGCTCAGAACCACAGCTGTGTGGGCTAATCAGTAAGCTGCTCCAGAGCTGGCGGCCTCTGCAGGCTACGGGTTCCCATTTGGGACACAATAGCCAGGCCATGAGTCATTCAGCCCAGTGGTTCTTTCTGAAACCACGCTGTAGAAGCCTCGATGGCCCCCCAGGCTGCCTGCTGGGCTCCATGCTTGTGTGCACCTGTGCTTTTCTGGCTTGCTGAAGACAGGTGTGCCCAGGCTTCACGCTCAGGCAGTGTGGCTCCAGAAGACACAGCCATCATGCTTACACCGCCTCCCAATCCAGCTGGGCCTGGGAGTCTCTTCGGGGCAGAAGCTGCAGCCTTGGGTAGAGAGGAGTGAAAGGTGTCTGTCTCCACCCTGCCCGAGCCAGTCCCTCTGACTTCCACCCATTCACAACCCTGAGAAGACAGCTCTTCAGGCTGCCAAGGGGAAAAATAAGCAGCCGTAGTATTCACCCTTGGCTTGTTTTGTTTGTACCAGAGATGGAACCCAGGGCCATGAGGCAGATGTCCTGCCACTCAGCCACACTCCCAGCTCCACCACCTAGGCTTTTTAAAAAAAATTTTATTGATTGATTATTTTTCTGAGACAGTGTATCATTATGTACCTCAGGCTGGCCTGGAACTCACAATGATCCTCTTGCCTCAGCCCTCCCAAGCCTGTAGATACATAATTGCATATTTCCTAAGACACTGTGCCCTGCTCAGGACCTGGGTTTTTTGTTTTTTTTTTTTAGCAAAATCTTTATTGGTACATTTTAGATATACATAATGATAACATTCATCATAGGGAATTTGTACCTGTGCATGATATACCTTGCTTTTTTCCCATCTGCCCCTCAACCCCTGTTCCCCTGCTTATTAGCAGCTCCCCAAACAAGAGCTTGGTTTCCATTTTCACTTGTCCCTTCCTTTTCCCCTCCCCCTTCTCATTTGAACATTTTCTTCTCATTTCTCAACATCTGCTATACAGTTTAATTTTTTTTTTTGGTACCGGGGATCAAACTCTGGACCTTGCGCTTGGCAAGGCAGGCAGTGGAACCACCGAGCTAAATCCTTGGCCCTTATACATTTTAGTCCTTAGTTCCACTTTCAGTTTCTCAAACCAGAGAAACAATGGCGGTATTTAAACATGTGTGTCTGATTTATTTCACTTAAGAGTATGGTCTCGGGCCGGGGATTTAGCTCAGTGGTGCCGCTGCCTGCCTCCCAGGTGCAAGGTCCCAAGTTCAATGCCTGATACCAAAAAAAAAGAGTGTGGTCTCAAGGTGCAACCATTTAACTTTAAATGTCTCAACATCATCCTTATGGCAAAGTAGTACTCCAGTGTATAAAGAAACACATTTTTATCCATTTGTCGGTTGATGGGCATTTGGGCTGTTTCCAAGATTTAGCTAACTGTGCTGCTATAAATGGGGTGTGCATGTATCGCTGTTGCACCTGACTTTTTTTAAAAAAGTCATCTCTCACAGGAGGGCTTTCTTTCTTTTTTTTTTTTTTTTGTCTTATTCTTTTTCATGACTGCACAGTGTCCTACAGTAGAGAAAGGCTAACATTTACTTACCCACTCCCTCACTGACATTTAGGTATTTACTGGTGGATAAAGTAGGTTACCACAACACCTATGGACAGTATCATATCATTCTAACGGTGATGACCAGGACCATGCAATTGACATTTAAGCCGTGCTCACCAAGCACTGTTTCATACATTATTTAAAAAATAGTGTTTTGGTTTTTTTGAGACTGAGTTTTGTTATGTAGCCCAGGCTGGCCTCAAGCTCAGGATCCTCCTGCCTCAGCTTCCCAAGTCCTGGAAATAATTTTTTTCCCCCAGTACCAGGGATCAAACTCAGGACCTGTGAGGCAGGCATGGTGCCACTGGGCTAAATCCCTGGCTGGAAATAATTTTTTATTTTGATGTTGGGGATTGAATCCAGGGCCTCACGCATGCTAAGCATGCTCTTTACCTCTGAATTACACTCCAAGCTCACTTTAATCCTCCCAACAACTTTATAAGGTCGGCATGGTCACGCCTCCCTTTTAGGGATGCGGAAACTGAGGCACAGGGCGGTCAAGCCTCCCTGAAGGTCTTGTCTGTCTTGGGAAATGTGCAGTTGCGTATCTCCAGGCAGGTTCCTAGAAGGGAGGACGGGGCTGCAGAGTTCTGCCTCCCTGAGTGGCTGCCTGTATCCTAGCAGCTTGGGTCCAGCGCTGTTTCCCTTCCAGGGCACCGTGAAGATGGAAGGCGGGAAGCTATCGATCGAATTTCCCAACTATCGCCAGACCTCGGAGATTGTGGGCGACAAGCTGGTGGAGGTGAGTGCTTGCTGGCTTCTGGATCAGTCCGACCCTCTTCTGAGTGACCAGCGCGGGGGCACAGAAACCTGGACCCGTTTCAAGGCGCTCTGACTCTGCTCCCTGCAAGTCAGGATCCCGTGGGGCTTTCTCAGTGCGAATGAAGGCGATGCCGGAGGGTCCCCAACGGGGAGCTGCTATGCCACGCCATTTCCATGAGGCCCTTCAGGCCCTTCCTGCCAGGTCTTCTGATTTTTCAAAAGAAGCAGGAAACCTGCATTTCTCTGTGAAATCTCCACGTGATTACATGTTGGCAACTACTTATTTTTTTTTAAATGCTGGAGGGTCCAACACACACACACCGGCGGAGGGGCCACTCCCGCACTCACCTCCTAGACATGGGTGGGGGCTGCCTGGCGCCTTTGTTTCCTGTCTGTTCCTCCTGGGGCCCCAGCGTTTCCCCCGGGTGGAAGAGATGAGGGGAGGTTAAAAGGGAAAAGAAGGTGTTTCCAGACCTCCTTCCCTCATCGTGAGCCTGTGACCTGGGCCGGGGTCTGGGCTTGGGGCAGGTCTGGAAGGGGCCCTCCTTCCTCTCAGGCCCTCCACGGGGAGGCAGCCTCGGCCCTTCTTTTACCATCTCCTTCTTCCAGCACTGGTCGTGGAACCCAGGAAGCACTGAGCTGCCTTCCTACCCACCCCAACATTTTATTTTGAGACAAAGACCTCCTAAGTTGTCACTTCCCACCTTCCCGCTTTTGACTCGCGCTGTTTCCTCCTCCTGTCCCCCTGGAGAGGGGAGGAGCAGAGCACACTCCAATACCACCCCCACCCCCACCCCACCCCCTACCCCCCGCCTTGGGGATTAGGGTCCCGGCATATGAACTGGTGAACTGGGGTGGGGGACACTAACCTCAAGTCCCTAATGTGGCCCAAGAGGCTCAGTGCCGCCCCATTATTCCCATTCTAGCGAAGCCCTGGGTCTCAGAGACAGCATGCGACTTGCCCAAGGCTGCACAGCTAGAACAGGGTGGAGGTGGGTACCAACCATCCCGACTTCTGGGCCAGGCTCTCTGCCTGTTCTCCCCAGGCTAGGGGGTCTTTTTCCTTCCCCTTCATTTTTATTTTTTAAAGAATTAAAAAATAAATAGATGTCTTGTGTTGAAACAAGTATTAAATGAACAAAAGTGAGTATCCCTCCTCTCCTGGGTGAAAACTGGCCTCTCAAGGCACCTGGACAGCTCCGGACACATTTTTATGAGAATTGTCATCTCGGGGTGCTGACTCCCAGGAGCTAAGTTCCTCAGCCTGTGAGGTGTGCAGGGACAGCCCGGGACAGGAGGGCCAGAAGCGGGCTTGTACCCAACTGGAGAACAAACCTTCAGCTCCCTCCTTTACCTCGGGCAGACGGCTTCCTAGGCTGTTGCGGGGTTCAGTGCATTAACGGAGGGGGTGCTGTCCCCCTCCAGCTGCACCCCACGGATCCCCCTCTGTTCTGGCTGCTTCTTTCAGGTCTCCACCATCGGGGACGTGAGCTATGAGCGCGTGAGCAAGCGCCTGGCCTGAGCCGCCAGGCTGGGCTCCGAGGGGGCTACGGACCCCCCAATAAAACTGACCTAAGCACAGACTTCTCTGTTGTTGTTTTCTGGGGTCCAGGAACAGCCTCTGATGGGATACACACTGGCAGGGAGTTGGAGAAAATAATAGTCTGTGAATCGGCAGGGGGACTGCCAGGTGACGGGAAGGGCTAGGACATCCAGGCTGGGAGGGGGCCCTGGAAGGAACTTGGGGAGACAGCAGAGGGGCTGTGAGCAGCAGATGGGTCACTGTGAGCCCTAGGAAGGGGCCCAGAGCCCAGGGTTGAGGAACACTCTGGGGCAGCATCGAGTTTGCCAGTGTCCTGCCCTGCTGGGAAGATCCCTCTGCCCAGGGCAGGGCTAGGAAGGGTGGCCCACTTGTCCCCTGGCAGACTGTCTCTGGCAGAGCAACAGAGGAGCCTACTTCATTCTTTGTCCTTGGGAACAATTGTCACATCTGGGCACCAATTCTACTAGTATTTTTCTGAGTGACAGTTCACTTTTATTTTTACTACAATGGAAACTGCATATCAATTCTGTATATGGAAAGTCAATTATTATTTGCTGTAAGTAGAGTTAAAACTATTAAAATACAGCTGAACCATGTGGACTTTAGCCAGATTTTGATGCCTGCCCAAAGCCGATGCATCGCTGGTTAAAAAGGGCAAGAAGAGTAAAAGGCAGAGTTGTATCACCTGGAGAACGCTCTCCTTAACTATCAGATTACTGTAAGACTACTGAAAAGGGAACATATTTACCAGAGAATTATCAGCTGGGCATGGTGGTGCACACTTGCAATCCTAGCTGCTCGTGAGGCTGAGACAGGAGGATCCCAAGTTCAAGGGCAAGCCTGGGCTGCCGAGCAAGACCTTGTCTCAAAATAAAAAGATGGAGCTTAGTGGTACAGCATGCCTGAAGTTCTGGGTTCAATCCCCAGTAGTGAAAAAAAATACTGAATTATTATTGAAAATTACTGAATTATTGAAGGCAGTTCTTAAATGATCTTCAATGTAGAACTCCCATGTACAGGGAGGGGATAAGAAATGAGGTTTTGGGCTGGGGATTTAGCTCAGTGGTTTGACCACCTGCCTCAAAATCGCAAGGACCCAAGTTCGATCCCTGGTACCAAGAAAA